GCTACACTTTGTGTTTGCCCCACCTGGGTGCAAGTAAAAATCACCGCAGGGCGTCGTGGTGCCACTGAGACCCCCGCCTCTAAGAATCACCGCAGGGCGTCGTGGTGCCACTGAGACCCCCGCCTCTAAGAATCACCGCAGGGCGTCGTGGTGCCACTGGGACCCCCGCCTCTAAGAATCACCGCAGGGCGTCGTGGTGCCACTGGGACCCCCGCCTCTAAGAATCACCGCAGGGCGTCGTGGTGCCACTGAGACCCCCGCCTCTAAGAATCACTGCAGGGCGTCGTGGTGCCACTGAGACCCCCGTCTCTAAGAATTACCGCAGGGCGTCGTGGTGCCACTGAGACTCCCGGCTCTTAGAATCACCGCAGGGCGTCGTGGTGCCACTGAGACTCCCGTCTCTAAGAATCACCGCAGAGCGTCGTGGTGCCACTGAGACCCCTGTCTCTAAGAATCACTGCAGGGCGTCGTGGTGCCACTGACACCCCCGCCTCTAAGAATCACCGCAGGGCGTCGTGGTGCCACTGAGACCCCCGGCTCTAAGAATCACCGCAGGGCGTCGTGGTGAGGCACGGTGCAATTGCCGTGGCGCAAGGCTGTGCGCACAGTTTGTCCCTCGTATCGGCGCGGGGAGGCGCAGCGCGGGGCGCCCTCCCCGCGTCCCTGCAGCAGCGCTTGCAGGGCGTCGCCCCCCACCCCCAGGGCATCCTGCAGGAGCTCGCAGTCGCAGTGGAAGGGGTTATCTCCCAGCCGTATCTGTGTACGCGCCGGCAGGGCAGACGCCGCCTGCGGCTCCGTGGCGGCTCCGATGGCGCTCAGCCGGTTTTCGGACACGTCCAACGTCTCCAAAGAGCCCAGTTGCTGCAGGGCGTCGGGGGACAGGCGCTGGAGTCGGTTGCCGGCCAGATTCAGGTGAGAGAGGGCGTCGAGTCCCTCCAGGAAGCCGTTTGGCAGGGAGCTGAGCCCGCTGTGGCCCAGCAACAAAACGCGCAGGGAGCTCATCGCGCGGAAAGGGAAGTCGCAGGCACCGCGGCTGCTGCTGAGCGCGGCACCCAGCCCCGGCGTGTGTGACAGGTCCAGGATACGCAGGCTGCTGTTGCTGCTGCCGCTGACGGACGTGGTGGTGGTGGCGCCTCCGCCCTGGGGATGGCACCGAGACATCGGGTTGCGCGCCAGCGACAGCACGCGCAGCCTGGGCAGGCGCGCCACCCTCCACAGCTCGCCCGCGTCCTCCAGCCTGTTGGAGGACAAGTCCAGCAGCGCCAGCTCGGCCGAGATGCGCTCCACTCCCCACGCGTTCCGCAGCCGGTTCCTGTCGAGCGCCAGCGAGGCGAGGCGCGGCAGGGAGGCGACGGGCACCTCGGAGAGGGCGTTGTCGCTGAGGTTGAGCGCCGTGAGCGCGCCCAGCAGGGACAGCGCGCCGCCCTGCACGGCGCCCAGGAAGTTTCGGCTCAGGTCGAGTGAACGCAAGGAGTGGCGGCTGCCCTCCAGGCTGGAGAGGGCGTCGGTGGAGAGGAAGCCGAGGGCGTTGTGCGACAGGCGCAGCTCCTGTAGGCTCTGGAGGCCCGCGAAAGCGCCCGCCTCGATCTCCTGGATCATGTTGAAGCTCAGGTCCAGCACGCGGAGGTCTCGGAGGCCCGCGAAGAGCGAGGCCCCCAGTGTGACCACGCGGTTGTGGGACGCGTCCAGCCTCAGGAGGCCCGACTGGCCGAGCGGCTTGAAGAAGTCGGGGCCCGGGTCGCGGAAGTTCCTGAAGCCCAGCGAGCGACCGAATCCGCTCATCCTGCTCATGACGAGCGCTCGGATCGCCGCGCCGCGCACAGCGCCGAAGAACGCGGCGAGGCCCCCGAGCTGATCCCCTCGGCCGCTGCCCATCCCCGTGGAGGAGATGTCCAGGGTCTCCACGCTCACGTTGGCCAGGGGGTTCCCGCAGGAGGCCCAGTCGAAGCCGGCCGCGTCGTAGAGACGCCGGTTGGACGAGAGATCGAGGACCTGGAGCCTGGCGCCGCTCAGGTTGTCCAGGTCCCCCGCGCAGATCTGCTCCAGGCGGTTGCGCTTCAGGTTGAGGTGGCGCAGCGAGGAGGCGAAGTGGCGCCGGGCCCACGCGCCCACGCGCACGCGGCGGAGGAGGTTCCCGCTCAGGTCGAGTCTCTCCAGAGACGCGGCCGGGCCGAGCAGAGGGCCCGCGAGGACATCGTCCCCGAGGTCGCAGTGGTCGAGGCTGAGCGAGCGCAGCTCCGTCAGCCCCTCGAGAGCTTCCGTCCTCGAGACGCAGGCCCGAGTTACCGCCCAGGTCCAGGGCGCGCAGGCCGGGCGCGTTGAGGAACGCGCCGCGCTCCACGGAGAGGCCCCGAGGCCCCGTCTGATAGCCCAGCAGAAGCGTGCGCAGTCGGGGCGCGGGTGCCGGCGGCGAGGATGCGGCGGGGAGGCGAGAGATGCTGTTGAAGGAGAGGAGAGCGTCGACGGTGCCCAAGGGGAGATCCGAAGGGAAGCGCGTCAGGCCCCGACCCATGAGGTTGAGCGCCGCGCTTGAGAGGTCGGTACCCGGGCCATCGTCTGGATCGACAATCGGGCCATTGCCAGGGCCAGCACTTGGACGCACACGCGCGGCCCCCGGTCCCTCGCTCAGCCCGAACCCCAGCAGGCACCCCACGAGCGCCACGCGGAACGCGTCGGCTCCACGGCGGTGCCGTCCTCCCGTTCAGCGTTCCCATGGCCGTCGATGGCCTCGCCCTGCAACTCGGGGGGTGAGGGCGCGGCGCGGCGCGTGCGGCAGGGGGCTCTTGCGTGCCCGTGCCGAGTGTCTCGCTTGCGTTTGCTTGTTCCCTCTGAGCGCGAACGCCGCGGTTTTATAGAGGGACCGGGATTTGTCAATCGGCGGCGCGGGAAAGCACGCGGTTGCGCGCGGCGCGTCCCCACCTATCTCGCCCACGGTTCCCCGTCATGATGGGGCAATCCCCAGCCACGACCCGTCATCATGGGGAAATCCCCAGCCACGATCGGGAGTAGCGAGTTGCGCCGGATTAGTGGTGGCGGCGGCGGCTGTTCAGGGAGGGAAGGGGGTGCTGAAGGGAGGTAGGGGAGGGTGCAGGGAGGGATGGGGGAGCGGTGGGGGCAAGGAGGAAGGGCTGAGAGGAATTGGTGATGGAGTTGGCGTAGGGTGGACCCACAGAGCAACGAAGTTGGTAAACAAGCGAACTACATCTTTCATTTGCGACGAGAGATGCTCGGTTTTCTCGTTGCACTGAGAGACTCCAAGAAGCAAAATCGTCGAGCGCAGAACACAGCTGAGCAGCACGAACAGCAGCAGCGCCTCCACGCTGCCACGTGGTGTTTGTCGTGTGTTGTTGATCCGGAGGAGCGGACCCACGCGTGTACTTACCGTGAACACATGGAAAAGCTCAGCGCATTTGTCAACAACACTGCCTCTCAGGCGATGGCCCTTCTTCGTGGCACGAGAATAATTGGTTCTGATTGGTGGAGACCTCCTCTACTGAGGGATGATGGCCCATTTCAACACATTTGCTGTGTGATCATCGCGCAGCTATTGACGGAGCAAAGCGCGTCCGTCATCGTCACCGCACCGTATTGGAAACTCCGTTTGTAATTCCGCTTGTACAGCAATGATATAACCAAACGTCGTACACTCGTGACTTTTCTTAGGTGATTCGATGAATCTGTTTCGAGGCAGAGAGATCGCCTCCCGGTGGTTGTAGGCTGAGACCCACTTGGCGAGAGTGTTCCACACACGGTGAGACCTGTTTGGTATGTTACAAGTTGACATTGTTCTAGCGCAACAGTTGCTGGATCAGTTTCTATCATTTGGGTCTCATCAGCCTAACGAGCCTAACGATGCTGATGAGACCCAAAAGATAGAAACCGATCCAGCAACCGTGGCGCTAGAACAATGTCAACTTGTAACATCGCCCCGCCGCTGCCACCGCCACACTTGATCCATACGGACGGAGCAGCTGGAGTCAACATTTTTGCTGTTTGCCCTCTGGGGAACTATGGTACGGCCACTTCTCGACCGCCAGCATTCGCTGTTGAAACAAATACTCTTGGGTATCATTGAGCTGGAAAGCCCAGATGCTGATGGACTTAAAAATGTTGAATTCCCACGTGGAGAGACCGAGAGGTTTGGTAAAAAAAAAATGTTCTGCGTGGCATGGATGGAGCGGCGGAGCAGTGGTTAGCGCACTGCGCTATGAACCTGGCGACATAGGTTTGATGCCAGGGTCACGGCTACCATCAGTGGCGAGTGGTATCGGAAATGGTCAGGGCTCGGAGAGGCCTTCATCCAGCAGTGGATTTACACGAGGTTGAAAATGTATTACTTGCCCATGCTGACGATGAACTCATGATGTGTTCTCACGAGGAATGTGATCTAGTCAAGGAGTCTGTGCGGCATTCACCTCCTGGCTCGGCACGTGAGCCAGTGGTGGAAATGCCACATTCCTATGGCGGGTGCGAAAAGACAAAGCCAGATTTCGTTGCTACAAACGCAGTAAGTCGTCGCTTAACACGTGTGCGCACTATAACGCGCTTTGGCTATAACGCGGTACATTCGGGAACACATTTCACATAACGTGGAACGCGCCTGTTCTAACACACGATGCGCCCGTTATAACGCAGAACGCGCCCGGCAGGGATCCGATTGATGTCAGGAAATGGCTCGGCCACTGATCGCGTGACTTCCTCCTCCCCCCCCCCCCCATTTCCCTCCCCCGTGCACCCCCCCCCACCCGCTCAACCCTTCCTGCAAGTTGCAGAGGCCGCCGCCGGGAAATCTTCGTTCTCGGTTGCACACGAGTCCCGCACGCGGCCTGGGCGCAAGGGGGCGCTACCCAGGGGTGCTCCGTACGGCCGTGGCAACTGTCGCAGTCCCCGTGATAGTCACAGGACACCAGATTTTAATACATCTTTTTCACTGCTCCGGCAATGCAAAAGGAAGTTCGTTGTTTTCAATGGGATTTTTTAAAAATCGACATTTCGCAGCGCTTTTTCAGTCGTTTTTATTGTGGAAAGTGTGATTTTGGTGGAAGGTGTTGGGCGAAGGGGTTGACGGTGACGATGACGGTGCGCGTGTCCAAAAAAGATGTTGGGTGACCGCTGCTCCGAGCCTCATCTCGACAGCACTGATGCTGGGTAAACGGAGATGCCAAACAATCCTTCGAATGAAATGGGCCAAACATCCCAGTGTAGGTACCTCCTCCTTAAAAAAAGAGGTTGGGATATCTTGAGGCTTTCGTGGGTGAACGACATTCATAGTCAATGACTTTAACATTTACCCCAATCCTTGAATTAAATCACACCAGGGCAAACCCTGCATTTAAGCTTGGCCGACTAAGCCTCACCCACTCAGCCATTGCATGGAAATAACCCATAATCTATCAGTGCCGGATTATCCCAGTAGCAAAAGTAGCTACATAATGCTACGGGCCCCGCACGTTCAAGGGCCCCGCGCTAAATGATTTCAAGCTATCAATTCCGGTTCAGTGATTCTGCACTTGCTCTATGACTATAGTACTATACTGCCTTCTTCATTTACGAACGACTGGGTGTTTAAGGTTAGAGATTTGTCGTATTATCTGGCTGTATAGAAAATGAAAAAAGACAATTATTTTACTATGCAAGTAAAAACTTTGTGTTTTAATATTTGTGTGTTTTTAAAAATACATTTCGGGCCCCTTTATAACATGTGCTACAGGCCCCGCACTAGCTTCATCCGGCACTGGATCCGATATGCCTTCGTTCTCGCATGAGCCATCACCAAAATATCCTGGCTTTAAAAATATGACCACACCAACGAGGCACTTGGAGAGGTACAACAAGCCATCTCAGTGGTTTAGTTAGGACTTGATTTAACTTTCTAATTTGGAGATTAAACGTGTAAAAAAAACATTTTCCAAACAAATGTTTCCTTCATCAAAGACCGGTGTTGGAGACTAACGTTGCAATCGAGGTAATCCCACCGATAAATTAAAAGATGAATGAGCTTCGGTAAAATATTTTTTTTAAACACATGCACGGGATCAAGGATATCTCACGTGTTACTGTGCATAAGTGTGGTGTGCTCCCTAGCACGATCAGGTAAATACTGGTGCTGCAATCATCACTCGTGGCGTGTAAACTTCTGCGGTCCCTTGCGTTGAATCGCACGCGAGCTGGGTTGAGCTGGATTGGGTCGGCTCCAGTAGCGGAGCCATCGAGTGTGCCGGTGTCAGAGCCCGCAGGCTGCAGGGAGCCCAGGCGCCGGGCTACGGCGAGGGAGCGAAATTGAACGGGAAGGCGCCGAGTCATCTCTTGCACCAGGGCCCGTGCCGAACACATGGCTACGGCCCCGGTCAGGTCAGACCGGACAGGGTCGGGTAAGGGATGGGTTTAATTTTTCTCTCGCACGGTGTGGGTCGTTGATGGGCGTTGTGTCTCTATGTTCATACGGAGGTTTGGTGAGTGAGCCAGTGGGCGGCTCCAGGAGCAGCCACGTGACGAACATCTCAGATCCTGCCGGTGAATGATGGAAATGGGCAGAGTCGTACATACGGTAGGATCCATGGTTTGGGCTCGGAGACCACACTGCGGCTTTTCTTGGGTAGGATCAGTTCGGACTGGGTAGGGTCAGATCGGACTGGGTAGGGGGTCAGATCAGGGTCAGATTGAGTTGCGTCGTGCAGGTTGGGACTGATCGGCAAAAAGCTCAGCATGGTCAGGTCCGGTGGGGTTCGGTCGGGTCGGGACAGATCGGCCTAATGCGCCTCACTCTCCGCGTACACGGGGTTGGTGAAGCACGTGCCACTGACACGGGGAGCCGTGGGCTCCACGTTCTCTTCGGAGTAGAGGCCGTACAGACCCTGCAGGGACACGGCACGTGGGGACGTGAGACACAGGGACACGGGGAAACTAGAACACGGGACATGGGGACACGGGGACATGGGGAAACTAAAACACGGGGACACGGGGAAACTAGAACATGGGACATTGGCAGCGCCTGGAGATGGGAGACCGTTGTATGATGGGAGTCACTTTGAGTGTTCACACTGCAGAGGGCAGCACTGTGATTTAAACCACGACTAGGACAATGACTGCACCACGGCAGACTATTGCAGTCGGCTACGACAGACACCGATTACACTCTACCGGTCTTGCAGGCAAGGCGCTACCGCCGCTGCTTGTGATGATGATCTTGATGTTGCATCGCTGACAGCGCTGATGATAATGATGGAACTGATTATGATAGTGCAGTTGATTATAGAACTGTTGATTATGATGGAACGGATTATAATGTAGGCAATGATGAAGCTGAATCTGATAAAGGGTAGAGGTTGCTTCTGCATGGGGGGGTGTGGGGGGTGTAGGGGGTTTGGGGAGTGTGGTGGTGTGGTGGGGTGTGGGGGTGTGTGGGGTGTGTGGGGGGTCTTGTAGGTGTGGGGGTTGTGTGGGGTTGTGTGGGGGTGGGTAGGTGGTGTGGGGTTTGGGGAGTGTGTGTGGGGGGGGGGGGGGGTGTGGGGGTTGTGGGAGGGACGGTACCTTCTGCATGGGGGTATCAAACATGGGGTTCTCGAATCCGTCCCCGGCCCCCGGCTGTGGACTCCTGCCCAGGGCGGCCGAGAGTCTGGCCCAGAGTCCGAGCTGCCTCCCGGGGGCCTCACCCACCCCCTGGCTGACCTCACCCTCACTCAGCTCTGCCTGCTGCGACCTGGTGTGAGAGAGGGGGGGGGGGGGCGAGTGAGGGGGTTGAGAGAAGGGGGGGGGGGTGAGTTGAGAGAGCGAGAGGGATGCGTGCGAGGAAATTGGGTCCAGGGGCTGGTATAGAAGCCCCTGAACCCCAGTCAGAGCGTTGAGCTGGCCAGGTCAAGAACCCGAGTTCAAATCCAGGCAGCTACCCGTGGTTAAACGGAGTTCTCGAGCCTAGTGAGCCGATGGTCTCAGCCAAATAGATTTCAATTTGTCGGAATTCCAGCACTTGAGAGTTATAAAAGTGTTGGCTCGACAGCCACGCAACGCGCAACGCACATTCGCTGTCGGGCATTATTGGTGCGCTCCTCGTGTGGATGTTCGGAGGACTGCTGTTGAAGCGGCCTCAGAATTAGTTCCCCGACACAAGGTGCAGCACCGATAGCCAGAGGTCGCAACCGGGTACCCGATACCCGTACCCTACCCGATACCCGGCTACCCGTACCCGGCCGGGGTAATGACAGGGGAGTCAGCCTCCAGTGCGAATGGACTAGTGGCTACGGGAGGTAATGACAGGGGAGTCAGCCTGCAGTGCGAATGGACTAGTGGCTACGGGAGGTAATGACAGGTGAGTCAGCCTACAGTGCGAATGGACTAGTAGCTAGGGGAGGTAAGGACAGGGGAGTCAGCCTGCAGTGCGAATGGACTAGTGGCCATGGGAGGTAATGACAGGGGAGTCAGCCTACAGTGCGAATGGACTAGTGGCTACGGGAGGTAATGACAGGGGAGTCAGCCTGCAGTGCGAATGGACTAGTGGCCACGGGAGGTAATGACAGGGGAGTCAGCCTGCAGTGCGAGTGGACTGGTGGCCACGGGAGGTAGTGACAGGGGGAGTCAGCCTGCAGTGCGAGTGCACTAGTGGCCACGGGAGGTAATGACAGGGGAGTCAGCCTGCAGTGCGAGTGGACTGGTGGCCACGGGAGGTAGTGACAGGGGGAGTCAGTCTGCAGTGTGAGTGCACTAGTGGCCATGGGAGGTAATGACAGGAAAGTCAGCCTGCAGTGCGAGTGGACTAGTGGCCACGGGAGGTAATGACAGGGGAGTCAGCCTGCAGTGCGAATGGACTAGTGGCCACGGGAGGTAATGACAGGGGAGTCAGCCTGCAGTGTGAATGGACTAGTGGCCACGGGAGATAATGACAGGGGAATCAGCCTGCAGTGTGAATGGACTAGTGGCCACGGGAGGTAATGACAGGGGAGTCAGCCTACAGTGTGGACTAGTGGCCACGGGAGGTAATGACAGGGGTGTCATGCTGTGGACCTGCGCTTGCGGCGGGTGTACGCGGCGTAGGAGAGGCCCACGAGGACGATGAAGAGGGCCAGGACGCCCAGCACGATGCCCAGCACCGCCGGGGAGCCCCCAGGCTGAACAGGCTCGGCCTCCGAGGTGCGCAGGGTGACGTGCGTCACGCCGTAGCTCTCACCTGCGGCACGGGGGGGGGGGGGGTACGGGGACGGAGGGAGGGCGAGCGTGAGGCGAGCTCCAAACGCGACGAGTAGGTTTTTGTTTTGTTCTCTCCAAATGCTTTTTGTTGCCAGCTTATTGATTCTTTTTTTTATTCGCCTCGTTTACCCAAGGCTTTTTTGTCAGGAGGGTTCCTGCCAAGTTTCTGTAGTAAGGGGCGATAACGGTGGTGTTTCCCAGTTAAGTGCTTTTAAAATTTGGCAAATTTAGACCATGATGCCTGGCGCACAATGGCCAACTCCTCATCTTGTGGTGTATTTTGTACACCCACAATACTTTGGCCTACCCTTCCATCGTTATAAGTGTGGGTACTCCCCACCTCTTCCAAGACATCTGGTCAGTGGGGAAGAGTAGGCCAGAGTACACTCTAACGGGGCTTTCTCGGTCACCGTCAGCAGTGGCGCGAGCAGCAACTGCAGGGCTTGCGACTTTACCCCTCATCACGTGGAGTAGCAGAAGGGAACCACGTGGTTCTCTCGATGGTATAGAAAATCCGCTCCTAACGTCACGCCGCCACAATGGTGAAACGAGTCGAGGGTAATGCGAGGACCATCAACGTCGTGCCAGCGAAAGTTGACCCCACAGAACTACGTCTGGGAGGTCCTGCAAATTGCATCTCATCCACTCCAGGAGGTGCTGCACCTTTGCACCGCACGCTCTGCTGTCGCGGTGATCGCAATCAAACCAACATTTAAATAAGCGCTCATTCCTGGAATAAGCTGGATTCTGAGGGGCAGACCAGAGTTTTTGTGCAGCCATCGGATGACCGGGCAAAGGCTTCGTCGACATCACAGCAGCAGAGCGTTGCGGCGAAATCCGGCTGTTGTTCTGTACGTTCCGTGCGCTTCCACGTCCATGCTCCCCGCATTCACCAACTCCGAACTGAGCCCGTGTGGCCGCAATACGGCCGAACAACAACCCCCCACGGCCCGCACGGCGGTGGCGTAAGGAGGAGGAGGGCCCCCCTTTCATCGAGCAGCGGCGGTCGACAAAGAGGGGCGGTTTTAACGACGGCGACGCCGCCGCGTGGTTCCGCGTTGGCGCGCCACGTGCCGTAGCGGTCGACGTCGGCCACGATGGCCCTGGCAAGGGCGAAGGCGGCGTCCATGGAGCCGGAAGCGCCGTCCGTGCCGGTGAGCAGCAGCTGCACGTGCGGCTCCTCCGCCGCGGCGCCCTCGCCGAACAGGCCCAGGAGTCGCGCCCAGCCACCGCCCCCGGACGCCATCGCGGCGGCGGTGCCCCCCCGCACCTTGGACATCGCCATCCACACAAACCTGAAATCGTCCTGCCAGCATCGGAAAAAAGACACGGGGCGACGGTTCGCATCCATTAGGCCGCCCGGGATGAACACTGCGGGTACGTAAACCGTTAAATACTGGGTGCCATCTGCTTCCCTTGTTTGTATTTCTTTTGTCATGTGACTCCGATCACTCTTGCGAATATGGTTATTGTGGTCTCTTTGAGTAAAAAATAATTTTAAATTTGGAACTCGAATTTGCTTCACATTGGACGTCAAAGATCTCTGCCTACTGTGAAACTACAGCAGGCCGTCTGTCAAACACAACGTTGACTACATGCAGTGATTCGATTGTTACGATTCAGGATGGAGATTTGATTCAGCAATCAATAATTTGATTGTTGAGGATGGTGGCGATCATGATGGTGGTGACAATGACGATGATGATGATGATGGAGCTGAAACATCAGATCTCGTCTCACCAGTCCCAGGAAGCTGTGAATGATTCGGCTGCGATAATTCTCCAGGTCGAACTTGGCATTGTACTCCAAGCGCATCAACGCACCTGTGAGATTTAGAGGAGATCACGAGGTCAAGAGGTCGGATGCCAGCGATGCCACCAATGCATCACCATCGCAGCCTTCACTGGGATTCAAACCCTGCATCTGTAGCAGCATCATCATCAATGCACAACCTCCATGGGCCTCGCAGTCTCATCACCACCAGCACCATCTGGCGTGAGGTCCTCTGCATGTTACGCGGTCGAAATTGCCTTTAAGGACCACTCTTTTAGCCTCATAATAATTGCCAGCATGTGGCTTAAATCAGGCAGTTCATCGACGAATGGCTGTAAATTAGTATTATTGCATAGGCTTACGGTGGCAAGATGTTAACTACCTCGCCTGGTATACAGATCGTGGATTCGATTCCGATCCTGATGCCTGTTGTATATTTGGAGTTTGCATGTTCTCCCCGTGGTCATGTGGATTTTTCTCCGGGTCCTCCAATTTTTCTCCACATTTAGAAACACGCGTTTAGAGTATTTGGCTGCTACAACATTTCTACGTGATAAGCCACTTCGTCGAGCTATCATTTGTGGCCAGGTCGCTTCTCAAAACAGCTATATAGCTCAGTGGGCCTTACCTGGTAAAAAATATATATTTTATTTTAGTACAAGCATGCACACAGGTTTAATTCACGTGCACACATCAACTGATGCCATACATCCATGCAGGGCAAAGCATAGCGTTGCCCTGCGACAGTTTGGCCCGGAGCGAGGCCCTCGCGAGTACGTACCGCACTCAGGGCAGCAGTTCCCTTCGGCCAGGAGCCCCGTGGGGCAGGTGAGCTCGGGGCACGGCCAGCCTCCCCCCTCCACTGTGCCGTAGAGCCGCGAGCAGATGTGGTCTCTGTGCTGGAGGGGAGGACATTCGGGCAGAGCCGGCGGTCAGTTTTCGGCGGACTCGGGCGGTGGCCGGGTTTGCCGCCGCCTGTGTTTGTGAGGTTCGAGTCTGCGGCCGCCCTGGTTAACACTGCGAGTGTATTAAACGTAAAATACTATGCGCTGCCTGCATCGCCGCGGCCATTCCAAGATCCCGTGACGTGATTCGAAGGAGAGTGAGCCATTGCGTGCCGACGTCGTGGTCCAACCTCTTCTTGGTTCTTTCGGTAAAGTCACGTAGAAGGGAAATAATAACATAATAAAAAGAAAACATCATAAAATACAATTCTCACGACGTTTCGGCCACAACGCAAGCAGCCGTCCTCGTGGTCCAAATTTGGCAAAAGTGAAAAATTGCTCGTAAATTATTTGATCGCCCCATACCGACGGACTGATGACAACTTGTAGGCCGGTGCCGAGTCAACTTGTGCAGTCAGGGACAGCTGTGATTAAGGGGTCCCTTCGGCATTGAAACGATTTGAGCTGAGATGTGGTGCAAGGCATTTTGAGAGGCTGGGTGCCCAGCACGTGCCGGAGATAGGTGCTATATTTAGGGATCTCCAGACTTTCAGGAGGCTCCTGCTACATTGGGTTGTTAGGCCAATTCCAAGTAAGTGTTTGGCTTTGTGTGGGGGGAACCCAGAGCATCTTCAGGGGGGATAACGCTCAAAGCTCCGTCCAGATAATGCTGACGGAGCACACAAAGACTGCATCAATGATACGGGACAAATGAGCCATGGAACGAGACACGGAACAAATGATGCATGGAACAAACGAGACACAAAACAAACGAGACATGGGGAGAACGAGACATGGGACAACGAGACATGGGGAGAACGAGACATGGGACAACGAGACATGGGGAGAACGAGACATGGGACAACGAGACATGGGGAGAACGAGACACAGAACAAGCGAGACAGAACAAATCAGTCACGAATCGAGACGAAACAGAGCGTTCGATTTTCAAATCGAACCATGAACTGGAATCGCGACGATCAGTGGACCCGCTGGGTAGGCGACTCATCGCAGGTCGAGTTGAGGAGGTAAAGTGGTCGACGGGGAAGGGAGGTGAACGCCCCTGTAGGGGTCGGTGTCAACGCTGGGAGGGAGCCGGGCCTGGTCAAGATTCGCTCACCCGGTCGTTCCCGCACAGGCAGCCGCTGGGATCCAGGCACGTCCCGTCGGGCTGCACGGAGATGGAGCCGCCGTGGAACTGCAGCTTCCCCGAGCGGCTCTGCAAGTAGCTCCGCAGAGACGCCTCCGTCGAGAAGTTCTGCGGCGAGAGCGAGGGGCCGTGCGGTCGGAGTGTGAGAAGCCACTTCGTTGAGCTGTCATCTGCGGCCAGGTCTCTAATGAAGAGCTATACAGCTCGGTGGGCGTTACTTGGTACAATACAAATGTTCTTTGGGGTTTTCGGTAAATTCACGTCGATAGGTAAAACATTTATTTACAAAAGAACTACGACGTTTCGATTGCAACACAAGCCATCGTCATCAGGTGGAAAAAGAAAGAAAAAAACATGACGATGGCTTGTGTTGCGATCGAAACGTCGTAGTTTTTTTTTTAACCTATCTACGTGACTTTACCGAAAGGCCCAAAGAATATGAATTCCGGCAGTCACGAAAGCTTCAAGTCGAGATTTATAATAAAAATAGTTAAGTGAAAATATGATAATGGGGTTTTCCCCTTTTTTCTGGCAACAAAACAGGTGTCAAGATGTTAAAATACCAAACTGAAACCTTTTGCAAGGAATCATGTCTGCATCAACCACAATGCTTGCGATCAGAATGCAAACAAAAAAACAAGTGAAAACAGTTAAGCGCCTGGGGCCCCTCCGACCGGTGAGCCCCATCACGGTTGCACCGCGTTGGGGTGCACCGTAACGGGGACCGCACCACCCCCACGACCGTCGCCGCCGCCAGCCGCGCGACGTTTCGCGAGCACCTCTCCCATGACGGAGAGAGAGCGGGCTTGGAAGGGTCCCCGCTGGAGGCCCACGCGGAAGGAGGTGAGCGGTCGGAATTCGACGTCGTCGGCGGCGCAGGGGACGCGCTCCACGTCCACGGTGGACAGCGGCCGCCCGGCCAGCAGATCGTCGCGCGAGCGCGCCGTCGCCCAGAGGCGCGCGTCCAGCCACGACCACCCGGCCTGCGGCACGAAGTGAGCGTCGCCTGCGGTAGGCGACGGCGCGGGGACAGAACGGGGGGGGGGGGGGGGGGGGGTGGCACGGGGACAGCGTGGGGACATCTCAGGGGAAAGCACGACTGTGACACAGAGGGCAGCGTGGAGACACAATGGGACAGCTCAGGGGCAGCACGACTGTGACACAGAGGGCAGCGTGGAGACACAATGGGACAGCTCAGGGGCAGCACGACTCTGTGACACAGAGGGCAGCGTGGAGACACAATGGGACAGCTCAGGGGCAGCACGACTCTGTGACACAGAGGGCAGCGTGGAGACACAATGGGACAGCTCAGGGGCAGCACGACTCTGTGACACAGAGGGCAGCGTGGAGACACAATGGGACAGCTCAGGGGCAGCACGACTCTGTGACACAGAGGGCAGCGTGGAGACACAATGGGACAGCTCAGGGGCAGCACGACTGTGACACAGAGGCAGCGGTGGAGACACAATGGGACAGCTCAGGGGCAGCACGACTCTGTGACACAGAGGGCAGCGTGGAGACACAATGGGCGATGGAGACGGCACTTAGGAGACAACAGCGGTGCCAGGTCTACGCGGGAGGCAACACGAGTCTGACACTCAGAGAGAGCGCGTGTGATGACAGCACACGGAGGCGGTGCGAGCGATCCGTTCGACATGGGCGAAGGACTTGGCAGTGAGGAGGGTGTGGAGGGGTTCAGGTCCCGTACCCGCGACGCATCCTGCCGGCGGGTCGCTGCGGCCGTCACTGGCACTCAGGGTGGCACCCTCTTCCAGGATCAGCTCCGAGTTCAGCGGCAGGTACTGTTGGTGGTGGGGTGGGGGGGTAGGGGTCAGGGGAGGTCATCATAATGGGTAAAGGTCGGGTTGGAGTGAGGATGTGTGTCGGCTTGCATATGTGGCTCTGCGTGTGTATTGTAGGTCGACTCAGCCTCAAACGAGTAGCTGGCGCGGTGTGTAGTAAACGTCGCCACTGGGGAGACAAAGGCGGTCGGGCGTGGTGCTGGCCACCCACCCCCTCGTGTGCCGCGCCGGCCTTCATCGGTGATCGCTAACAGCACTTGCCCCTACAGTCTGTTGAGGCTTTCGGGGGGATCTTTGTCTTTTGTATTAGGGCCATCCCCTAGGTTGACTCAGCTCAAAATGGGTACCCAGTCACAATTTGATCGTTGGCTCCGGTTAATGCGCGCGTCAGCAGACTCGCCTCCACCTCCCGTGGCTTGCAGCGTTGACTCATCGTCTTTGTGGCGCAACGCGTTGTGTTTGCGAGCGCACATTAAAGCAGGCACGTGACGGGGGGCACAGGTGGTGTTGCGGCACGCGATGAGGCTCAATCATTGACCGGGTTTCGGGAGCAGGCGGGGGAGGGGGTAGCGGGGGTCGCACGGAGTCGCAACGTGGAAACTCCTCGATCGGTCCGTGAACCGATCAGTCCGTGAACTGATCAGTCAGTGAACTGATCAGTCAGTGAACTGATCAGTCCGTGAACTGATCAGTCAGTGAACTGATCAGTCAGTGAACCGATCAGTCCGTGAACCGATCAGTCCGTGAACTGATCAGTCAGTGAACTGATCAGTCAGTGAACTGATCAGTCAGTGAACTGATCAGTCCGTGAACTGATCAGTCAGTGAACTGATCAGTCAGTGAACCGATCAGTCCGTGAACCGATCAGTCCGTGAACTGATCAGTCAGTGAACTGATCAGTCAGTGAACTGATCAGTCCGTGAACTGATCAGTCAGTGAACTGATCAGTCAGTGAACCGATCAGTCCGTGAACTGATCAGTCAGTGAACTGATCAGTCAGTGAACCGATCAGTCAGTGAACCGATCAGTCCGTGAACTGATCAGTCAGTGAACTGATCAGTCCGTGAACCGATCAGTCAGTGAACCGATCAGTCCGTGAACCGATCGGTCCGTGAACCGATCAGTCCGTGAACCGATCAGTCCGTGAACCGATCAGTCCGTGAACCGATCAGTCCGTGAACCGATCAGTCCGTGAACTGATCAGTCAGTGAACTGATCAGTCAGTGAACTGATCAGTTAGTGAACTGATCAGTCAGTGAACCGAGCGGTCCGTGAACCGATCAGTCAGTGAACTGAACGGAGACGAGCGTTTCTAAACGGGGGGAGTCACTTGACATTTGAAAGAGAATAATCAGGGCAGCGCGACGAATTCCTCTGCGTGCGTTCTGTATGCAGTGTGTGCTGTGTGCGTGTGTTGTGTATGCAGTGTGTGTTGTGTACGTGTGTTGTGTATGCAGTGTGTGTTGTGTACGTGTGTTGTGTATGCAGTGTGTGCTGTGTGCGTGTGTTGTGTATGCAGTGTGTGTTGTGTGCGTGTGTTGTGTATGCAGTGTGTGTTGTGTGCGTGTGTTGTGTATGTAGTGTGTGTTGTGTGCGTGTGTTGTGTATGCAGTGTGTGTTGTGTGCGTGTGTTGTGTATGCAGACGTGGGAACGGTAGTGCAGTGGTTAGTGCACTGCGCTACGAACCCGGCGACCCGAGTTCGATTCCCATTCACGGCCACCAACACCGGTGACGATTATTTGAACCGGTCCTGGGCCTCCCCTAGGTCGATGCAGCCTCAAATGGGTACCTGGTGCGGTGTGTAAACGTCGCCATTGGGGAGACAAAGGCGGTCAGAAGTAGGGCTGGCCTCAACATGCGCGCCATGCTGGCATTTACTAGCTACACGCCAGCAGTCTATGTCGGCTATACACATTTACAGGGCGACTTTGTCTTTGTTCCGTGCGTCTGCGTGTGTTCGGCGAGTACGTGGGGTAGGAAAAGAGGAGGGTGAGGAGGTGGGCAGCGTTACCATGTCCAGTATGGAGAAGCTGCCATCCACGTACACCGAGACCGACTGTGGATAGAGCATGACACTTGGGTTAGAGGCAGAGATGGACCCAATAATCTCCCAACAACAGAGGCAATTCCATAAAGTGTACCTAACACATCTAGCCACCGCAGCGAGATCTCCCTCGCCTGATACGCAGGAGGCCGCGGGTTCGATCCCGGACCCTGGCGGTGCCTGTGGTTGTATATTTGTAATCCGCACGTTCTCTCTCCCCATGGTGGTCGCGTGGATTTTTCTCCAGGTTCCATGTTTAGAATCGACGCACGTTGAGATCATTTCGCTGTGACTATCAATTCCCACGTATGACATCAGCCACTTCGGTGTGTGGCCAGGTCGCCTCTGAAAAAGAGTTCAATAGCTCAGTGGGCTTTTTACCTGGTAAATAAAACAGTTACGATTATAACCCCAATCATCGTTAAAGTCAAGCTCTATCAATCATCGCCACCGTGAAACTCCACTATCATCAACATGCAGGATGGGTACCAGCTGGTGAGGCTAAAACTATTATTGATTTATTTTACCAGGTAAGGCCCACTGAGCTTACAGCTCGTTTGCAGAAGTGACCTGGCAACAAATGATAGCTGAACGAAGTGGCTTATCACGTGGAAATTTATAGCAGCCAAATACTCTCTAACGCATGTTTCTAAACGTGGAGGGAAAAACCGGAGGACCCGGAGAAAAATCCACACGACCACGGGGAGAGAGAGACACGCAAATATGCAGCAGGCGTCATGGTCAGGTTCGAACCCACGGCCTCCTGCATACCAGGCGAGGGAGTTAACATCTCGTCACCGTGGTGCCCCACTGCCTCTCTACAGGGTCTTGAGCTGAGGTCGCTTTAAACACTGCATGTCAATACTTTGGTTGACACAATCATTCCGTGATGAGCAACTGCCCTGGAAACAGACCTTGTGACGAGACACAATGTCTTAGAACAACAGACGCTGCAGCCAAGGAAACATTGGTAACTACTGGTAACTGGACAGGGCACTGGTAAACACATTCCTGCGGAGGGAGCTGGTAGGAACGTTGGGTTGCTCGGTCTATGGCCAGGGTCAATGGCCAGGGTCAACGGCGGCGTGGTGTATTCCGCAAATATGCCCGACTGTGAGGACGGGCACAAGCCGGTGTGAGTAGGTTAAACGTTGAGTTTTATAAGGGCACCACGGGGTGACCAGCCCCTCCCCACCCAGCCCCTCCCCACCCTCCCCACCCAGCCCCTCCCCACTCCACCCTCCCCTTTCCACCCAGCCCCTCCCCACCCTCCCCTCCCCACCCAGCCCCTCCCTCCCCACCCAGCCCCTCCCTGCACGACGGACGGACAGACACAATAATCCCCTGTGGGCTGGTGTAACCAGGAGGTTCCTACCAGTACTATAGATAACTGGACAGGGCACTAGTTGGGTTCTAGTTACATTAATTTTCAAAGAGTGAATCACATTTTAAACTTCTATAATAGAGGGGCTTTTTAGGGGGTTAGATCGCGTAAATCTCAATCAAACTATCATGGATGATATTGGTCGCGAAAGCCTACGTGTTAAACTGACATTTTAAGCTTGTCATGAATACCAATGGATTCATGCACACGTGTCGATCAGGCTCATCACAGGGACGCAGGGCGCTTCGCCTCTCGGCGGCTTCCCCACTTGGGGGGGGGGGGGGGTGGGGGGGGGCTCGACTTTCTCACGACGAGACCGCAACGGCGTCACCGTCAACCGAGACGCGCTCGCAGGCGCGTTCCCATTGTGAACGCGTGCGTCCGTGCATTACTACACAATTGATCAATTACACTGGTCAACAAAAAAAATTCTGACCTGGACTTTTGCAGCTGTTTTAGACTAATTTCAGGGTGCTGATTCCAAATCTGATCTCAGATTTGCTCTAACACATCTCATTTTATGCTATCGGCATACCCCGTTTTCATTGATTTTACCCGAAATTAACTCTGTCACTTATGATTGCAAGTTGTTGCGAGTCAGTGACTGCTTTAGTGTTAAAATATGGTGCTGTATTTTTAGGATAGTGTGTTTATAATATCATTTTATGTAGATATCCACATTTATTTAATATTTTTCTTCTGCAGTTTTTATTGAAAATGCAATATTTGATATCTCAAAAACCTGATGTGATTGACAAAAACTGATGCCATCATTGTCAACGCGCGCCTGGAATCTTCTCCAGGTGGTCTCCAGAGCCCGGAGGGCGCCTTTCTTCGTGGTATTGTTGCAAATTCTCAGAGAAGTGTAAAAAAAGCATTTTTTGAAGCACCTCGTACTTCGCAGTTTAATTTAAGGCGTTGCGGGGTGGTGGTGTGATTGGGGGGGGGGGGGCACAGTGGAATTTGTCCCCGGGCGACAGTCCCACCACCACCACCACTCACCAACACCACTCACCACCCAGCACCCACCACCTACCACTACCACCACCCACCACCACCACTCACCACCCAGCACCCACCACCACTCAGCACCACCACTCAGCACCCACCACCACCACTCACCACCCACCACCACCACCCATTACCACCACCACCCACTGCCACCACCACCCACCACCACCACCACTCACTACCACCCACTACCACCACCCACCACCACCCACTACCACCACCACCCACTGCCACCACCCAACACCCACCACCCAGCACCCACCAGCACCCACCACCACCCACCACCACCACCCACCACCACTCACCAACACCACCACCACCACTCACCACCACCCACCACCACTCACCACCCACCACCACCACCTACCACCACCACCACACACCACCACCACCCACCACCACTCACCAACACCACCACACACCACCACCCACCACCACTCACCAACACCACCACCCACCACCACCACCACCACTCACCACCCACCACCACTCACCACCCACCACTACCACCCACCACCACCCACCACCCCTGCCCAACCAGTGATGTAGGAGGAGGCTGGACACCTCGTCTGCGGGGAAGATGGCTCGCTCTGCGGCACAGGGGGGGCGACCGCCCTCCCAGTTGGAGCCGTTCCCGAAGTTGGTGTCACGTGTCCATTGCCTGAAGTAGCCGTGAGTCACGCCTGGCACGGGGGGGGGGGGGGCACGGGGGGTAACACGGGGGGGGGGGGGGCGAGTATAACACACACAACGCACGCGTCATTACATAGAAGAAGACGACGACACCCCACGTGGCCTCGAGTCGGCTGGTGGGCCACGTGCTGCCATGGAGAGGGGTTTTGCTAACTCCACGCCCGGCCGCCTTTGTCTCCCCAGCGCTGACGTTTACCCAACCGCATCGGGGGGCGCTCACTCTTCAGGCGGAGTCGACCCAAGGGGGAGGATAATCATCCAGATGAAATGTTTTAATGGGAAATAACCAAAAATAACCGGCGCCGCCCGCTGACGTTAGCCATGTGCGGAGATCGAACTCGGGAATGGCCGGGTGCGCACGTTTGTGCTAACCGATGCGCCACCGCTCTCCAATCCACAAAGACAAAGATCCCCCGTATAGTCTTGACAGACTGTAGGGGCAAGTGCTGTTAGCGAGCACCTATGAAGGGCGGAACGGTACACGAGGGGGTGGGTGGCCAGCACCACGCCCGACCACCTTTGTCTCCCCAGTGGCGATGTTTACACATCGCACCAGGTACTCGTTTGAGGCTGAGTCGACCTAGGGGAGGCCCAGGACCGGTTCAGATAATCGTCACTGGGTGTTGGCCGTGAGCGGGTTCATAGAGCAGCGCGCTAGCCGCTACATTACACAGCACACACACTACACACACACATCACACACACTACACACACACTACACACACCACACACACTACACACACACATCACACACACACTACACACACCACACACACACACCCCACACACACTACACACACACCACACACACCACACACACTACACACACACCACACACACACTACACACACGCACGCGCGCGCGTAAAACGCAAAGAAAACAAACAAACTTACCAAGCAGAGCGCAGAGCACCAACGCGAGTCGCATTGTGACTCCGGGTCAGGTAACGAAGGCGGGCGGGGGGGGGTTGATGCCGGCTCAGCTTCTGGTAATCTCCTGGCTCCTGGTGGCTCCTGGCTGGTGCTGGTGGCTCCTGGTGGCTCCTGGCTGCTGGTGGTGGCTTCTGGTGGCTCCTGTGGCTCTTGGCTGGTGGTGATGGCTGCTGGTGGCTGGTGGCGGCTTCTGGCTGGTGGTGGTGGCTTCTGCTGGTGGTGGCTGCTGGTGGCTCCTGGCTGCTGGTGGTGGCTCCTGGTGGCTTCTCGCTGCTGGTGGCTCCTGGCTGGTGGTGGTGGCTTCTGCTGGTGGTGGCTCCTGGTGGCTCCTGTGGCTCTTGGCTGGTGGTGGTGGCTGCTGGTGGCTGGTGGTGGCTCCTGGCTGCTGGTGGTGGCTCCTTCGGCGTGGCCAGAAGCCCCGTGGTCTTGCGCCTGGGGGTCGTCTCTCTTGAGCCGCAGTGGCCCCCCTGCTACTGCTGCTGCCGCACTTTAGCAGAGCCGAGGAACATAAACGTCGCCACTTCGCCCCACCCGGTCATGCGCGCGTGTGCGCGTGAGCCACACTCACCCATTAACAAGCGTCGCGGCCACATCGCTCACTCATTAACCAAATTCGCTGGGGTGCATCAGCCACTCACCCGTTAACCATTGCCCATCACTAACCCCCCTCCCCAACTTTATAGCCATCTCGAGACGCAAGAAGCACCGATCTCTTCAAGGTTGGCATGACTAAGCTGCCAAACGTCCGTCCAGGGTCTAGTGGCGGCAGTCCCCCTGTGCTCAAAAGCATTTGGAAAGATGGGGGGGGGGGGGGGGTGTCTCCAGTACAACATGATTATCATCTGAGCCTCCACGTATTTTTTGGGTCTTTCGGTAAAGTCATGTCAATAGGTTCAAATAAATGTTTTTGTTATTTTATTTGAACCTGTTTACGTGACTTTACCGAAAGACCCAAAGAATATGAATTGCTGCAGTCATGAAAGCTTTAAGTCAAGATTTCAGCCTCCACGTGTTCCACTCAGGGTGCCGGCGAAGGGCGGGGCTTCCCGGGGCAGTGGGCGGGGCCAAGAGAGAGAGGGGCGGGGGGGGGAGTGGGGGTGGGGGAGGGGGGGGAGTGGGGGTGGGGGGGAAGGGGGGGGAGTGGGGGTGGGGGGAGGAGGGGGGAGTGGGGACGGGGGGAGGGAGGGGGGAGTGGGGACGAGGGGAGGAGGGGGGGAGTGGGGGCGGGGGGGAGGGGGGGGGAGTGGGGGTGGGGGGAGGAGGGGGGAGTGGGGTGGGGGGAGGAGGGGGGAGTGGGGGCGGGGGGAGGAGGGGGGAGTGGGGGTGGGGGGAGGATGGGGGGAGTAGGGGGGAGTGGGGGCGGGGGGAGGAGGAGAGGAGTGGGGGCGGGGGGAGGAGTGGGGCGGGGGGAGGAGGGGGGAGTGGGGGCGGGGGGAGGAGGGAGGAGTGGGGGCGGGGGGAGGAGTGGGGGCGGGGGGAGGAGGGGGAAGTGGTGGGCGGGGGGAGGAGGGGGGAGGGGGGCGGGGGGAGGAGGAGGAGTGGGGGCGGGGGGAGGAGTGGGGGAGTAGGGGAGGAGGGAGGAGTGGGGGCGGGGGGAGGAGGGGGAGGAGGGGGGAAGTGAGGGGCGGGGGAGGAGGAGGAGTGGGGGCGGGGGGATAGTGGGGAGCTGGGGGGGGGGAGGAGGGGGGGAGTGGGGGGGGGAAGGAGGGGAGGGGGGGGGGGGGAGGGGGGGAGTGGGGGGGGGGGGAGGAGGGGGGGAGTGGAGAGGAGGGGGGCGAGTGGGGGCGGGAGAGAGGAGGGGGGAGTGGGGGCGGGGGGAGGGAGGGGGGAGGTAGTGGGGGCGGGGGTGGAGTAGGGGGAGTAAGGGGGCGGGGGGAGGAGGGGGGCGGGGGGAGAGGGGGAGGGGAGCTCCGGGAGGCGGGGGGAGGATGGGGGGATTGGGCGCGGCGGGGGGAGTTGGGGCGGGGGAGGGATGGGGGCGGTTAGTGGGGGCGTGGGGAGGAGGGGGAAGTGGGGGCGGGGGAGAGGAGGGGGGGCGGGGGAGGCGGGGGGTAGGGGTGGGGGCGTGGGATGGAGGGGGAGTGGATGACGAGGGGGAGGAAGTGGGGGCGTGGAGAGGAGGGGGGCGTGGGGTGGGGGGGAGAGGAGGGGGAGGGGGGGAGAGGAGGGCGGGGGGAAGTGGGGGCGGGGGGAGGATGGGGGAGTGGGGCGGGAGGGAGGAGGTGGTGAGAGTGGGGGCGGGGGGAGGAGGGGGGCTGGGGGAGGAGCGGGGGATGTGGGGCGGGGGAGGAGGAGCGGGGGAGTGGAGAGGAGGGGGGAGGGGGGCGGGGAGAGGAGGGGGGAGTGGGGGCGGGGGGCGGAGGGCGCGGGGGGGTAGTGGGGGTCGGGGGGGGCGAGGAGGGGGTGAGTGGGGGCGGGGGGGCGGAGGGGGGAGTGGGTCGGGGGAGGGGATAGGAGTGGGCGGGGGGAGGAGTGGGAGTGGTGGCGGGGGAGGGGGAGGGCAGTGTGGGCGGGAGGGAGTGGGTGCGGGGGGAGAGGGGAAGGGGGTGGGTAGTGGAGGAGGGGGGGGGGGGGGATGGGGAGGAGTTCTGGGGGCAGCTGGGGGGAGGAGGGGGGGGGGGGGGGGGGGGGGGGGGGGGGGGGGGGGGGGGGGGGGGGGGGGGGGGGGGGGGGGGGGGGGGGGGGGGGGGGGGGGGGGGGGGGGGGGCGGGGGGGGGGGGAGGAGGGGGATGTGGGGGGTGGGGGGAGGAGGGGCGGGGGAGGAGGGGGGAGTGGAGGCGGGGGGAGGAGGGGGAGGGGGGCAGGGGGAGGAGGGGGGAGTTTGGGGGCGGGGGGAGGAGGGGGAAGTGGGGGCGGGGGGAGGAGCTGTTAATAAGAAAGAGGGCGGCGCTGGCGACTTGGCACACTTCTCTTGAGATGGCACTTTCATTGAAGACGCGTTCACTTGACAGGCAGGCGGAGACCCTCCACTGCAACAGCCCCGAGTCTCCCGCGCATCTCATATATGAACCGAGGCCAAGCCCCCCTTCTCGAACCTTCTCGCTGAGTCTGGACGCTCGCTCCACCGGCAGACTCCCCCACCCGTCCTCTTCCGTCACCTGACCGCGCTCCCTTCTCGATCATTCTCGAAGCCACCAGTCCCTTCGCACTCACAACGGATACCCCTGTCATTACCTCCCGTGGCCACTAGTGCATTCGTACTGCAGGCTGACTCCCCTGTCATTACCTCCCGTGGCCACCTCGGCACGGATATTGTTTGACGGCGTTATAATGCAAATGTCCAATATTTCTTCTCATTCATGAGTTTAACGACGCTTCCCTTTTTAGTTGAACCGTAACACTTTTCATCACACTGATCGTATTGGCGTTTAAATACAGAATGTTATTGTGTTCCGAGTTACGAACTTTCGTTAGACTTACGAACGGGTCCCTGGGACGAATTGTGTTAGTAAGTCAATGAGTTCAAACCTGCTGGTTTTGTTTAACCAGGAAAAGCTCACTAAGCTATATAGCTATTTTTTTAGAAGATACCTGGTCACAAATGAGAGCTCACGGTAAGCTACGTGATAATTGGCTCACGTGGAAATCCATAGACAAATACAGTACTCTAAAGGTGTGTTGATTCTAAATGTGGAGAGACAAACCGGAGGAACCGAACAAAAATCCATACGACCACAGGGAGAGAGACACGCAAACTCCAATTATACAGGCGTCACGGTCGGGATCGAACCCACGACCTCTTGCATACCAGGCGAGGGGATTAACATCTCGCCACCGTGTCCTGCACGCTTGATGCTCCCATAAATGTGGTGACCCCCACATCAGCTGTCTAGGCCCCAAATACTCGACTCTTTGTGGGCACGGGCATGGAAATCGATTGTTCCTCTGTGGGTTAGAATAGCAGATAATGGGGTACAGAATATTCGTTTGCACTGGTGGCTCAATTTACATCCAAAGATGGCCACTGTCATCGGATTATTTCAGTGTGGCTCCCTCACTGAAAATGTTTGGCCTAATCCAGCCAAATGTCATGCTTTTGTTACAAAGCGCACAGTCACCAAATACTGTGCAACGTCTCCACTGACCCCACCCAGCTCCATTTTGAGATTAACCGAGTTTCCTGTGGGAGAGGGGGGGGGGGTGATGTGGGGGGGTGATGTGGGGGGGGGTGATGTGGGGGGGGGTGATGTGGGGGGGGTGATGTGGGGGGGGGTGATGTGGGGGGGGTGATGTGGGGGGGGTGATGTGGGGGGGGTGATGTGGGGGGGGGTGATGTGGGGGGGGGGTGATGTGGGGGGGGGGTGATGTGGGGGGGGGGGTGATGTGGGGGGGGGTGATGTGGGGGGGTGATGTGGGGGGGGGGGTGATGTGGGGGGGGTGATGTGGGGGGGGGTGATGTGGGGGGGGGTGATGTGGGGGGGGTGATGTGGGGGGGGTGATGTGGGGGGGGGTGATGTGGGGGGGGGTGATGTGGGGGGGGGTGATGTGGGGGGGTGATGTGGGGGGGGGGTGATGTGGGGGGGTGATGTGGGGGGGGGTGATGTGGGGGAAGGGGGTGATGTGGGGGGGGGGTGATGTGGGGGGGGTGATGTGGGGGGGGTGATGTGGGGGGGGGGTGATGTGGGGGGGGGTGATGTGGGGGGGGGTGATGATGGGGTGATGTGGGGGGGGTGATGTGGGTGATGTGGGGGGGGGGGTGATGTGGGGGGGGGGGTGATGTGGGTGATGGGGGGGGGGGTGATGATGGGGGGGTGATGTGGGGGGGGGTGATGTGGGGGGGGTGATGTGGGTGATGTGGGGGGGGGGTGATGTGGGGGGGGGGTGATGTGGGGGGGGGGTGATGTGGGGGGGGTGATGTGGGGGGGGGGTGATGTGGGGGGGGGGTGATGTGGGGGGGGTGATGTGGGGGGGTGATGTGGGGGGGGGTGATGTGGGGGGGGTGATGTGGGGGGGGGGTGATGTGGGGGGGTGATGTGGGGGGGGTGATGTGGGGGGGTGATGTGGGGGGGATGTGGGGGGGGGGGTGATGTGGGGGGGGGTGATGTGGGGGGGGTGATGTGGGGGGGGGTGATGTGGGGGGGGGTGATGTGGGGGGGGTGATGTGGGGGGTGGATGTGGGGGGGGGGTGATGTGGGGGGGGGTGATGTGGCGCGGGGGTGATGTGGGGGGGGGTGATGTGGGGGGGGGTGATGTGGGGGGGGTGATGTGGGGGGGGGTGATGTGGGGGGGGTGATGTGGGGGGGGTGATGTGGGGGGGGGGTGATGTGGGGGGGGGTGATGTGGGGGGGGGGGGGGTGATGTGGCGGGGGGTGATGTGGGGGGGGGGTGATGTGGCGGGGGGGGTGATGTGAGGGTGGGTGATGTGGGGGGGGGTGATGTGGGTGATGTGGGGGGGGTGATGTGGGTGATGTGGGGGGGGGGTAATGTGGGGGGGGTGATGTGGGTGATGTGGGGGGGGTGATGATGGGGGGGTGATGTGGGGGGGATGTGGGGGGGGTGATGTGGGGGGGGGGGGGTGATGGGGGGGGTGTGAGGGTGGGTGAGGTTGTGATTGTGTTTATTGTTAGCGGGATTGTGACTATGCCACTGGCTGATGAGTAAGGTTAAAATTGCCAACCCATTTACATTTTTGCCCACGTGACTTGATTAGATTGGCACTGTCGGGTGATGGAGGTTTTCAGTTAAAATGTACATTGTACCCCCACGATCTAATCCAAAATAAACTAGAAATGATATTGGCCTTGAAAGCCCGCGTATGAAATTGCATGTGTGGGGAGCAGTGCCGGATTAAGCTAGTGCGGGGCCTGTAGCTTATGTTATAAAGGGCACTAAATAAAAAAATATTAAAACACGTAAATTTTTTACTTGCATAGTAAAGTAATTGTATTTTTTTTAAATTTGCTATACAGCCAGATAATACGACAAATCGCTAACCTTAAACACCCAGTCGTTCATAAAAGTTGAAGGCGGTATAGTACTACAGTAATAGAGCAATTGCAGAATCGCTGAACTGGAATTGTCAGCATTTACCCTGCTGTGTTGGTCTCACCTGATGACGGTTGCTTGTGTTGCGATCGAAACGTCGTGATTGTTATTTTATACCCCACGTGACTTTACCGAAAGAACCAAAGAGTATGGATTCCTGCAGTCACGAAAGCTTCAAATCAAGATCGGGATTGATAGCTTGAAAACATTTAGCGCGGGCCCCTTGAAAGTGCGGGGCCCGTAGCTACATACACTACTACATATGTAGTAGCTACATATGTAGTAGCTATGTCGCTACTACATATGTAATAGCTACTGTTGCTACTAGGATCCTCCGGCACTTGTGTGAGGTCGTTGTTCTACGAACCCGGGGACCCGAGTTCGACTCCCGCTCGTGGCCAACACACCAGTGACAATTATCTGACCCGGTCCTGGGCCTCCCCTAGGTCGCCTCAGCCTGAATTAAGTACCTGATGTGGTGTGTTAATATCGGACACTAAGGGAGACAAAGGCGGCCGGGCGTGGTGCTGGTCACCCATCCCTTAATGTACCGTGCCGGCCTTCATAGGTGCTCGCGAACAGCACTTGCACCACCAGCAGCCTGTTAAGGCTTTGACTGAGTGTTTGGTCTTGTGCGGAATGGTGGTCCAGCGCCTGGCACACTGCGCCACCGTCTGCCAACTTGGGCTCCATTCCGGACCACGGATCACAACTGCAGTGGACAGCGGCACCTGAGCGGCAGGTGGGTCCACGCGAAGGGCCTCGTCACTCTAGATTTGAAGCTTTCGTGACTGCAAGGATTCATACTCTTAGTTCTTTCGGTAAAGTCACGTAGGTAAAAAATGAAATTAATAAAAATAAAACAATAAAAATCACGACGTTTCGGAGGCAACACAAGCTTCCGTCTTCAGGTGAAACCGTCACAGCAAAATATCTGTAGAAGCTGTGACTTCTTGTCTCGTTGTCTGTTAAAAATTAAAGTTAAGTAGGCCTCGTCACTCGTTCACCACGAGCGCATCGCTGCAACCTCTGGCGGTGGTCATCCTCTCTTGGGCGCGTTTTTATCCTCCGATTCCTTCACTCGTCTTGGCCATCGATCATCAACCCTCCACGAACCTCGAAATACGCAGGGTATACATCTGACAAAACCAACACAACTGCTGTTACTCACATCCCAATTTATTAGAATATCGGCTCCGGAATATGAAACAAAGTTTGTGTGTTTAATGTGACCTATTGTTTTTAACACATCATAACACAATACAAAAAAACCCACTCTAGTAAGCTCTAGAGGCTAGACACAAGCTTTCATCAATCTGTCAATGACTCGATCTGCGAGGAACGGGGTGTAGGCGGCGGTGGCGTCACCACAAAGGGCTTCTCCCGCTCAGTGTGTGCGTGTCACGTGTTCGGGGTCCCAACAGCGATGCAGGTGAATGCGCACCCTGGCCTCCTCTGGCCAGACTGGACGAGCCACCAATTGGGATGAATTTCGATTTAAAGCTTTCGTGACTGCAGGGATTCATCTTCTTGGTTCTATCGGTAAAGTCACGTAGAAGGGAAATAATAAAATAAGAAAAATAAAACATGATAAAATTCTCACGACGTTTCGACCACAACACAAGCAGCAGTCCTCAGGTGAAGAACAGGTCTGTTATTATTTCCCTTCTACGTGACTTTACCGAAAGAACCAAGAAGATCAATTGGGATGAGTTTCAGATTATCCCGTTTTTTATGATCATCAAATAATGGATTTTAGGATCTTTTGGACCAATCCTTGCCATGCATTTGTACTTCACTTAAACGGATCAACGTTAGAGAATTGTCATCGCTTTTGCGTGAAACTTAATGATTTAAATATAAAATATTTCACATATTTTTTTAGGCAGCAGTTACGTCGTATAGTTAATAAAGGTGTTTTAATATTCGCGGTGAGCAACATCGCGTCATCGTCGTCATCGGAAATTTAGTCACTTGGCCCATTTTCGGATTTCTCTGGATTAACCCTAAAAGTGGGAACACATCCCAAGAATAAAGCTCGACATTTATCGAGGTGTGGATCTCTGACTTGGAGTTTTAGGGTTACACGACGGATAAGAACAAAACCAGCCCAATGAAAAGCACTTTAGTAAGGTGGCAGCTCTGCATGGGGTGAGACTGATTCCGCATTGGAAGAGATTACAGCTTTCTTACTGTGTACTGATGAGGCGAGGGTGATGTCATTCAAGAGACAAACGTTCTGCATCAGATGACACGAGGGCTCTATCGCTTGGCGGCTAATCATCATGACATTTCCACCGTAAACTGTTTACGCAAACCCACACATTTGAATCGGCTCCTATTTTAAGCCAAATTAAACCGCCTAATTCCAATTATTGCACCTCAACACCCAAACCGGCGATGTTAGAAGCTCTTGACACGAGACCCCTGCAGCAGTTACACACACACACACGCGTGCGGGTGCCACTCGGCGTTCCATCAGAATGCTTTTTTGTTGTTGTTGTTGTAAATGAGGAATTCGAAGGACACGACGACACCTACGACCGTCGTGAACGAGAACGGCCACCCCGAAACGTGGACCGCGCTCGCCCCAACACGAGGACAATAACGACGGAGCCTCCCGCCTTGACACGTCCGACGAAACATGGGAGAATGTTTTCAAAGTACGCGTTTGACATTCGACGCATGATTTGGAAGGACAAGTTCAAAGGGCTCGCATAATGCACATGCATAATGTACGTTGCCTCAGTAATCCCGCCCCCCCCCCCCCCATCATTGCGCAAGAACACAGCTGCGTGGTCAGCACACCTACGCCTCGATATGAAGAACGAAACAGGTGGACTTCTCCACAAATCTGGCTGTCGCCTGATGAAGCTAGTTGTAATTACTGGCGAAACGTCGTACTCAGTTTGTAAATGTTGTGGCTTGGCTCTCCAACACACCGGGTGGTGCTGTACCGGTGACGAATTGGCCACGTTCTGTTTACGTGACAACCCTCACTAGTTGGCTGTGTCGGGTGGTGGCAGGTTTTACCGACACATTTCTATATTTACGCGATCCAACCCAAAGAAACCCTCTATTATCGATTCGACGCATCTTCAACCGCCCCCCCCTGTACAACACACGGATTCGCGCCAACGATTTCCTAAAACCATCAAGGGCGCGCATCGCTCTACACCGTCGGCGTTACGCGCTGCCCGTGTACGTGAGGACGCGACAGGACACACGGGAACTAAACACGGCACACGCGCCCGCACCACGAGCAAGCGCAACAGCAACCACACGGCCACACTGCAGCGGGTTCGCCGGTCGCCAACCACCGCACGCAGACACACACAGAGAGGTGGGCAGGTTACACACTCAGGTCACCCCTAAAAACACAGTGGTACGCTCCACCACGATCCGCCAGGCGGCAGGGGGGGGGGGTCAACAATGGACTCGTCCAGGTGGGGGGGGGGGGTCAACAATGGACTCGTCCAGGTGGGGGGGGGGGGGTCAACAATGGACTCGTCCAGGTGGGGGGGGGAGTTCAACAATGGACTCATCCAGGTGGGGGGGGGGGGGGAGTTCAACAATGGACTCGTCCAGGTGGGGGGGGGGGGGGAGTTCAACAATGGACTCGTCCAGGTGGGGGGGGGGGGGGTTCAACAATGGATTCATCCAGGTGGGGGGGGGGGGGGGGGAGTTCAACAATGGACTCGTCCAGGTGGGGGGGGGGGGGGAGTTCAACAATGGACTCGTCCAGGTGGGGGGGGGAGTTCAACAATGGACTCGTCCAGGTGGGGGGGGGGAGTTCAACAATGGACTCGTCCAGGTGGGGGGGAGTTCAACAATGGACTCGTCCAGGTGGGGGGGGGGGGGGGTCAACAATGGATTCGTCCGTCCCAATGAGGCAGCACGTGTCGAGGAATCTTTCTGTAAATGACACCGTCACCTTAATCATACGCAGAGGTTTTTTGTTTGTTCATGTCCACATCGTGACATTTGAGCGTGAGCGTCAAGATATGTTAAAGCACACTGAATTGTGAAAATAAAAACATCGGTAATATTCATTCTTTTATAATCATTGTTATATTTGGGAACTAAATGTCCATAAGTTGAGTCCAGAGTCTGACCTGTATAAGCGGCGCATCACACACCAGGGTGACCTCACTCCAAGCAAGACAAACACGTGTATGTGAGCGCGGCTCTGTTGGCGAGCGACGCTGCTCGGTATCCGTCAGTCAACGTGGAATCGAATCAAACAGGAGGAGGTGCTCGTCCACAATCTCGCCACGCGCTCCGCTCGTGCGCAGGCTGCACGCGGCCGCAGTTAAGATCACGGTGCTTTTCAACTTCTAAAATCCTGACGAGGCCAGAGCTCACGACCGCGGCGCTCCGCTCGCCGCTCGCCGCCTGCTGCTGCCGCTACTGCCGCTGGTGCAGAGCGACTCTGGCGACGCGTTCCCGCAGTGCCGTGACCGCACGGCGGTGCGGGAACGGAGTCACGGCATCGCGCGAGTTCACAAACGCCGCCGCATCGCGCGCACGGCTCTCAAGCGTCCCGCCGACCATGACCCCAGCGGCGAGTGGTGAACTCGCTGGGCGAGGCCGCAATCGCGTGTGACACAAGGGGGCATTCCGTTCCGCCACCTCCGCCCCCCCCCCCCCCCACCGAGGCCAGGGCCTTCACCGAGCTCATTCGGCTCCGGCCCTCGACAAAGGGATCCACGCTCGGCTAGAAGAGTTCGCTGGTGGGCCCCACTCCCACGCCGGGTGGGAGGAACGAGGACCCGCCGCTGTAGATCTGCACCGGGACTGCACAACGTCCACGTCTTCACAGCTGTCAGAAATCGGCCAAAGTGCCAAAGTATGTTTTGATCGACGTTTGTTTTGCACGAGCAGCAGCAGCAGCGTCGGTGGTTCTTCTGCATGACAGAGGTGATGTGTGCATTTGTCGATTTCGTTTAGTTTTGTCTCCAGCGTTGATGTCGAGGTGTAATCAAAATTTCGAGGAATGGCAGTTCTTCCACAGGTTGCTTTCGCGCGTTTTCATTTCAAATTTTTTTTTATTCATCCTTCAGCGCTAACTCTGCCTCGCCGTCGGACTTGGTACCGATGAACAAGGGCGAGCGGGAAGTCGTGAAGGACCGGGCAGCGGGCGACCGGTCGACCGCGCGGAACTCCGATTGGAGCCACCCCGCAAACCGCCGTGCGTTCTGAACTGACGGTGCTCACCGTGGAGCACTTCTTCTACGCTGCCCCTAGTGACGCTGCCCCTCGTGACGCTGCCCCTCGTGACGCTGCCCCACCAGCAGGGGGCGGGGGCGGGGCTCCCTGGCTTCCGTTTCATCCATCACCTGCGCGAAGACGTCAGGAATCCTGCTGCTTTGGCGCCACTCACCTGCAGCAGCACACAAAGACAACCTCCCGCGTGTTGGCCTTCAGCGGACTTCTTGGGTACCGTTTGCGCACACCTACTAAGGCCTGCACGGCACACGCCCGCTCGCCTTTGTCTCCCCAATGCGGATGTTTACACACCGCACCAGGTGCTCATTTTAGGCCGAGTCGACCTTGGGGAGGGCCCAGGACCGGTTCAGATATTCGTCACCGAAGTTTGGCCGCAAATTGAACTCGGATTGCTGGGTTCGTAGAGCAGTGGTGGCGCACTGCTCCCCACGACACTCCTGCTCCCCACTGCACACGCATGCATGCGCGCACGCACACGCACCCTGGGTGTCATGGCAAGTGCTGTCAGCGAGTGCCTATTGATTACTGCAACGCACTCGGGATTCCGAGTGAGGCGCTGGGTAGACTCCATCTCACACCTGTACACACACACACACGTATACGCACGCACCTGCGGGCGGTAAGCCGACACCCCATCCTTGAGCTTTTGCTTCAGCGAGCTGTTGTGTTGCTTCATCTTTTGCGCCTGTGCCACACGTATGTACACAAGAACGCAGACGCGCACACAGAGACAACATCCTGTGTTGATCCTTGCAGGCTGTGACGACAAGTGCTGGTAATGAGCACTTATTAATAACAGAACAGCACGCGACATGGTGCTGTGGTCAGAACCACCCCCCCATACGAGTGCCTGGTGCGGTATCAGCACCAGGTACTCGTATTAGACCGTCAAGCTCGGTAGGCCCAGGACCCGGTTCAGGCATCGCCTCGCCACCGACGTTGGCCGTGGCTGGGAATCGAATTCCGGTCGTTGGCTTCGTAAACGCAGTGCGCCAACCGCTGCACCACCACTCCACCTTACCAGGAAACCAACGGTTACACATGAAGGCGAGCGCCCTGTCCGTCTGAAGCACGTGGCGCCTGTTGGACCACCATAAGACTGTGCCCACGAAACGGTGGTCCACAACCACCGCCACCCCACGTGACGCTACGATAAGGGCTCTCCTCCCGACGTGTTCTCGGGACGTACCGCGCGCCGTTCGGAAACAAAATCAACGTCCGACTTTTCGCTCCGTGTGGCGGCAGGGAGCTTCTTCTTCGATTTTATCAGTACCTGAAGAAGCTCCCGGCACGTGGAGCGGGCCGAAACGCCGGACATCGTGCCAAACAATGTGCGGTACGATTCATAAAAGACAACATCGGAGAGCCACACTGCAGCAGTATCATGAGTGTCAACACCTACGGAGTACGGTAATGGGGGGGGGGGGCTTCAAGAAAGGGCAACAGCTGACAGGCCAACACTCACGGCCCCGCTACTACTGGGCGGGAGGTGTACTGAGCTGTTACAGGCCGAGGCCCAGTGACAGGGGCACCGCGGTGGCGAGATGTTGACGACCTCGCCTGGTATGCAGGAGGTTCGTGGGTTCGATCCCGTCCCCGACACCTGCCGCTGTGTATTTTTGTTTTCGGGTCCTCCGGTTTTTACCTCCACATTTAAAATCAACGTGCTATCAAATTCCACGCGATAAGGCAATTTCGTTGAGCTATCATTTGTGGCCACTTCTGTAAAATGGGCCTTGTCAAAATAAAAAGTTTTTTATCCGTATTATAGACATATTTGGAGTCCGCCTGTTCTCTCTCCCCACGTGGGCTGCGTAGATTTCTCTGCGGGTGCCTCCCGTTTTGCCCCTCCACGTTTAGAACAAACTCGCGTTTCCATTATTTGCCTGCTGCTACGTAGTTTAGTTCTAGACGGGCCTCCCCGATGTGCCAGCGGTACCTGCTTCTTGAGATCCACGATCTGCGTGTCGAGACGCACGGTCAGCGAGGACGACGCGCCGCCTGCACCAACTGCGGCGCCTGCGGCACCTGCGCCGACGGCCGTGGCACCACCCCCGGCCTCGCCGGGCCGGGCATCCCCGCAGGCGGGACGGCCGTCGGTGGCGGGCGGGCAGCACGCCGCCACCACCACCTGCAGGTCGGACTGCTCCAGGTACATGTGGCGCGGCGGGTGGCGGCGGTCGCGGCCCGAGTGGTGGTGGTGGTGGTGGTGGTGGGCGCGGTGGGCCCGGTGCCGGGGGGGCGGCGAGGCCGGTGGCCCGTCTCGTCTCTGCACCGCGCGGCTTCGGCCTGCGCGGGATCGCCGGCGGTGCTCCTGGCACGCGTGAGTTCGCGCGTAAGTTCACGCGTAAGTTCGCGCGCGCGTACGAGCACGTGCGTGTAAGAGTACGCCTTTGCTTGAGCACGCGTGTGTACGCATGCGTTTACAATGCAAGTCTGCGCAAAGCGACGACTGTACGGCACATTCGCAGAAAGACCATATCTCAGGTTATCTGCGAAGGCTGTTTAAAGCGGATGTCGTTTGCGAGCGAACTTTTACGACACGGCACAACATGCAGGGGAAACGGCGTCGCAGCACTCTATGTGCACATTGCACTAACCAACCCGGCCACCCGGGCGCGACTCCTGGTCGTGCACGCCACATGGGTGGGAAGTGGATTGTGCTGGTGGCGGAAAACGCAAATTTTAGTGTTGCTAAATATCGTACGAACGCCATTAAACTTCCACAGGCTTTTCCAGCAGATTTGCACGTGCACTCAAAAAAGTCTAAATTTTTAGAGAGACCCCATCAAATGGGAGAAATTGGCGGGGATTGCTCTCTTGTGTGGACGAAGTCGCCACACGGTGCTGACGGTGACCACACCATCATTGCACCCATGTCAGAGGAGGGCGGGCGCACTTACTTCCCTCTTCATCTTCTTGTAGGGGTGGTAGTCGCTGTCGCTGGCATTATCCTCCTCGTCCTCCTCCTCTTGCGCTCCGTCAAGCTCCTCGTCACTGCCGGCGGAGAGAACGTGGTGACAGTGGGAGTGACGACGATGGCAGCGACGGTTGTGGTGATGGTGACGGTGATGGTGGTGGCGGTGTTGAGAACGATAAGTGTCGGTGGTGACCGCGTTGATGGTAATGAAGGTGATGATGGTGGTAATCATCGTGGTTACTGGCAATGATAGTGGGGGTGCTGGTGGTGGTGATTGTGATATTGGTGATGTTAGTAAAAGTGGTGATTATTATTCTGCTCGTTTACCCAGGAAAGCCTCGCCGAGTCTCACGACTCTTTTTCACGAGGGTCCTGCCAAGTGGGGAGCGACAATCTGCCGTGTGTTCCGTACGTTTCCTAATCATATCATCTGCCGAGTAATTTTTCTAATTTTGGACCACGACGCCGGCACACAATGGACCTGCTCGTTATTTGAACAACATCTCAGGATCTCGACTATCCACGGCGCGTGGTACATCGTGGTCAATACGCACGCACCGCAGTATTGTACGTGTGTGTGTTGGACTTCTTTCCCACCGTACGTAGCCAACCGTGCTAATCAGAGGTGCGGGGGAAGGACAACAAACTGAACATAAAAAAGCAGTTCTAGAGAAATGAGTTTTCAATTGAGATAATTTTCTAAGTGCATAGCTTCAGCAGCTTCCTAATATCGGACGGAAGAGCGTTCCAGACGGCCGCAGAAGCGCATCTGAAAGCACGCAATGCGGTGTCTGTCTTTGTTCGATGGTTAGCCAAAAGCAGGGGCGGCCCACCATATCCAAACCGCGAAATCGTGGGCCATGTCGCCATGCCAACGATGATGACGAGGGTGTAAAGTGGGCGGGGGTGAGGGGGGCGAGCGACCGGCCGTGCTCCCCGCGCTTCACCTGTGCAGCTGCGCCCGCCGGCTCGCCTGCCTGCGCTCCTCGCGGTCCATGACGCTGGTGCGCGTGCGCGTCTGCTTCCACGTGTAGTAGTGACGCACGAGGCTGCCGATCGACTTTCCCGGCAGCTTCCAGGGGAACGCGCGACGGGACCAGGCGGGAAGAGCCACCGGGGATGAGGCACGCGACAGGAGGGGAACGAGAGCGACAGCAGCAGCAGCAGCGGCATTAGAGGCTTGGGGTACGCCATGCGGGGCCAAGAGGGCAGTTGCCCACCCCCCCCCCCGTCTAAAAAATGAACGTGAACGTGTGCGCATACGTATGTACGTACGTATGTGTGTGTGTATGCATTCATATAGGTGCACAGAAACAATGTTGGTAAGGAAACAATATTTGCCTCCTCCTTTGGCTGGGTGCATCACTGCACTACCCCACTGTCATCATCATCATCATCGCCATCATACGATTCATTCAGAGAGGTGAATGCGTTGGCTTCGTTTAGAACGCGACATCCAAAAGAAAGTGGCACAAGGATGAGCAGTTCACCAAAAGTCTGAAAGAGGAGACCCCTTTCCGAAATGCGCGTATGTTCCCCGAGAGGGCGTAGCCTGACCTGAAGAGTGGCCAAAAATGTTTAAGGGAGAGAGCAGCTTGGCGGTCACCACCTCACTGCCATCTGCGAGTCGCACAGCCATAGATATTGAGCCAATAAAAGAGAGTGTGCAGCACCAGCAGCGTGTGCTTGGACAAACTAAACTATAAACTATTTTTATTTTACCAGGTGAGCACCACTGAGCTATGTAGCTCTTTTTCAGAAGTGACCCGGCCACGAAGCGGCTTATCACGTGGAAATGTAAAGCAGCCAAATACTCTAAAAGCATTTTGATTCTAAATGTGGAGGGAATAACCGGAGGACCCGGAGAGAAATCCACGCGACCACGGGGAGAACAAGCAAACTCCAAACATACGGGCGGTCAGGGTCGGGATCGAACCCACGATCTCCTGTATACCAGGCGAGGTGGTTAACATCTCCTAGCCACCGTAACGCCCAAGGTGATTGAGGGCTGCTCGTCGTCCATCAACTGTGGCGAACGGACAACTGTGGACCCGGCTACGGTCGCGGCAAGGCGTCCTAAGCTCGCCATGGATGCGACGGACAACTGCTCACCACAGGAACTGCGCCTCTCACCACACCGCGCGCAAACGCCCCCTCTTTGTCAGATCTCGGCAGCTAAGCAGGGCCTCAGTCTGGGTAGAGCTCGGATGGGCGTCCACCGTGCATAACGCAGGTGCTGTAGGCCGCTGCGGTGCCACCATGTCAGCAGAGGTAAGCGCTGCAAAATCATCGTTGTACTGCACTGTGCTCCAGCCTCTATCCTCCCCGCCTTCACCAACCTGCACTGAGCAGCGTGGTGAAGTATGGTCCAATTACCTCGATGTTCCGCAGGTTGCTGGCGAAGGCCCTCATCCAGCAATCGATTGACAACAAGGGCTGTGCATGTACATCACGAACCCTGACCCAAGCAAGTCATGTGATTTACAACCCGACCACTAAACCTAACGCAAGCTAGTCGTGTGTATGATCTACAACCCTACCACTAATGCCTAACCCAAAATGACAGTTTAGAAGTTGCACAGCATCATGGGAATTACCCACGATGCTAAGTGAGCTTTCCCGGCGTCATCGCCGCTGGCCTACACTTGAGGAACCACAATTGGTGGCCCTGAGGCGACACGCGCCGGGCGGCGAACTTGCGACTGATGACCGTGGGAAGGTGTCTGTGGATGGGGGTCACCTCCAGCGCTGCCAAGGATTCCAAACGACACGGACACGGGGGCAAAGGGCAACGCGGCCTTTGTGCATCACAAACAAAACGAGTAGCATTTCCTGAAGAAGTCCATTGCGGTCCTCCTGGCTTTTTCTTGGTTCCTGTTAGCACGAGCCAAGCTAATGGGGCCCCCCGTGTGTGGATGTGGGCACTCCACATAGATGGTGTCCAGACAGACATTGCTGATTTGCTCTACTGTGCCGATGAGTCCTAACGAGAAGGAAACCGGTCCACAGTTGTCGATCGCTGCATCGCTGCTGTTGCCGCTATCAGGTGGTCTCACATTCGATTTTTGACGGTAACCTTCGACAAGAGAACCCGCAATGCAGTTCTTCAGGAACTGCTGCTGGTTTTTTCTGCATAATGCACAAAAGGCTGGATGAGGTTTCATCTTATTTCCTGTGTGATGATGATGACGGTGGAGAAGATGCATCCATCCCCGTAGCACATGGTGATGGTGACGACGATGACAAGGATGCGTGTGTATCCCCCGTGTGCGTGATGAGGGGGGGGGGTGGTACCATCTGCTGGATGAGGTGGAAGCTCTTTCCGTGGAAGCCGTACGCCTGCTCGAAGAGGGCGCGCTCCGTCTCCCCCCACTCGTCGGCGTCGGGAGCGAAGTTGGGCATGTCGGCGAGCGAGCGCTCGATGTTGTGCGCGTGCCACAGCAGCAGCCCCAGCGCCTGGCGAGCAACCACGACGTCACGCGGCCGTCAGAGTTGTCGTGCAAAATCATTGGGAGCTTTTTAACATTGTTATAAAAATAATTCACAGCTCAACGCGAGCCCGGTAACAAAGCGGGGAACACAAAGTGCTGCGGAACAGCAGGTCGAGGCCGGGGTTCGGAGCGACAGGGCCCGGTGATGGGGGGGGGGGGGGGAAAGACTGGGCTCACGGCCCCATACCCAGGAGGGCACCACGAGTGGGGACGTGAAAGTTTATATGGGGAAGGGACGGGAGCTGAATCTTAAAGTGGCGGGGGGGGGAGTCCTTGCCTGTAGTATTTGGCCGGTTAACCAGCGTTAGTTCAAGCAAAGCCCAACTCTGCTGATGAGGCACTGTATGCGGAAACCGGTCCAGAGTTTGCGTGAACTGAATCAATGTTGCTGAAATGATACATTCCCAGAAGGCCGCGGGGTTGATGGGTTGCATAAGAACTATTTTAATTTGTTTTCTGTCGAGAGACAGATACATGAAGGAAACGTATTGTCCGCTTATCTGTTTTGTTATTCAAAGTTGAACACATTTAGGGAGTTGAGCACGGTTTATGAGATTATGAGACGATTTGGGTGTATGTAATTACGATGGCGATGAGGGCGCTGCTGATGATGATGATAAGAGATTATTGCGGGGAGCTGGCTGACATTCACAGCACACCCCGGCCACACACCTCTCCAATGGTGCACGCCTATTCCATGTATGATATTGAAGCTGAGCTCGAGTCATGGGACAGGCTGCTGTAAATGGTAGAGCCGATAAGCAGTGCCAGGGCCAAGAAGCAGAATACAGTCTTCTGGTCAAAGTTCATTTTCTCTTTCGTAATTTTGACCTCGCTCATACCACAAGCTGAAAAAGGACTCCTCATTAAGTGCAGAATACAGCCCACGCAGTACACACGGCCTGCGCACGCAGTACCCGCAACACAAGCAGCACGCACAAAGACAAAGAGATCCCCAGCATAGCCTTAAGAGACTGTTGGGGCAAGTGCTTTTAGCGAGCACCTCTGAAGATGGGCACGGCGCACGAGGGGGTGGGTAAGCAGCGCCACGCTCGGCTACCTTCGTCACCCCAGTGGCGATGTTTACACACCGCACCAGGTACTCATTTGAGGCCGAGTCGGCCTATTGGAGGCGCAGCATTAGTCCAGCTAATAGTCACTGGTGTTGGCCATGAGGAGTCAAACTCGGATCGCCGAGTTCATATCATCTTCTTGGTTCTTTCGGTAAAGTCACGTAGAAGGGAAGTAATAAAATAATAAAATAAAACATAATAAAACAATTCTCACGACGTTTCGGCCACAACGCAAGCAGGTCTGTCGAGGCGACAGCGTCAGACGCTGTCGCCTCGACAGACCTGGTTTTCACCTGAGGACGGCTGCTTGTGTTGTGGCCGAAACGTCGTGAGAATTTTTTATTATGTTTTATTTTTATTATTTTATTACTTCCCTTCTACGTGACTTTACCGAAAGAACCAAGAAGATGAATCCCTGCAGTCACGAAAGCTATAAATCGGAGTTCATATCATTTGCATAACTCAGCGGTGCACACACGCACAGCGCGCGCACACACGGCACGTGGAGCGCACTGCCACCCTCACCTGCTCCGTGCTGTACCCGTGCACCTCCTTGGCGACGGACAGGTACTCGTCCACTGCAACGACAACCGACAGCACGTCCGGCGGTGAGCGCCACTGGCCGTAGCTTACAATCGAAATCCCCGCTCGCTCGCTCTCTCCCTTCCATTTAAATGCATCGTTTTATGTTTTACTTTAGCAGATGAGGCCCACACTGAGCTACGTAGCTCTTTTTCAGAAGTGACCTGACCTCAACGAAGAGGCTTATCACGTGGAAATGTTTATAGCAGCCAAATACTCTTAAACGCACGTCGATTCTAAATGTGGAGGGAAAAAAACGGAGGAACCGGAGAAAAACCCACACGACCACAGGGAGAGAGTTAAGCAAACTCCACATATACAGCAGGCGTCCGGGTTGGGATCGAACTCACGACCTCCTGTATACCAGGCGAGGTAGTTAACATCTCCTAGCCACCGAGGCTCGGGTTGTCGCGGGCGAGCGGCCGGGGTACGTGGAGTGCGCCGTGGGCGCTGCTGGTTACGCTGCACGTGGCCTCTAGGCCCCTAATGGCGCGTGTGTGTGTGTACGTTGAACTTCTTTCGCACCGTACGTAGCCAACAGTGCTAATCGGAGGTGCGGTGCCAAGGACAGCAAACTAAACACAACAAAAAGCAGTTCTAAAGGAATGAGTTTTCAATCCAGGTGATTTAAAAGTGCATAGCTCCAGTGGCCTCCAAGGATCGGAACGACGAACGTTCCAGACGGCCGCGAGAGCGCAAATGAAAGCGCCGCGATGCGGTAGCCGTCTTTGTTCGATGGCGATCCAAAAGTCGCGACTGCTGCTGCTGCTGCTGCTGCGAGGACGACCGGAGTTCGCGTGATGGTGGTTCACGCTCCGTGACGAGACCCTTCACGTGAGCGGCAATGCAGCGCTGGGGGTTGGTGGATCGCGCGCACGAACACGTGCGACTCCCTCCCGACCCGCGGGGGCCGAAGTCACCATCCCCCGGCTTGCCAGGGAACGATGGCGGTACAGCAAGCGGATTACATATATTCTGTCTTTACGGGGATTGAGCGTTGCCCCCTTCCCCCCTCCTCTCGCACGTGTGGGATTCCTCCGGGCACCCCCCGGGTTTCCTCCCATGTGTTTCGAAGGCTCGACAACGGAAGTGGCCGTGCACATCCCAGTGCAGCAACACAGAGCGTGTGGACACACTGCCACCTTGCCGCTTGTCTGCGGTTGTTCCCGCGCTGACGTGTGCGGGAAACTGTGCGCGATGTTACAACGTCCGCAGCGTTTTAATTGTCAATTTTCACGAATGACTCCACATATTAATATAAAAGAATACATATAAGCCACAGTTAATTCATTATTATCAGATGCAATATCAGCAGCAGCAGATACTCCTTTCTGGTTGACGACGCCACCACCGAACCCCACGGGAGGGGACTACCAGGGAGCAGTCGGGGGAGCGAGTGAGTGGGCGGGCATGCACTCACGCTGCTCCTCGGGGATGGAGTGGTGAGGCGACCACACCGGCACGTCCTCCCTGTCGCGATCCCTGGTGCGCTCACGCGGCATCACTGTGATCCCACGCGCACACGCGGGAGGGAGGGACGCAGAATGGGCGGCACGCCCGGGAGAGGGGAGGTTTCACAACGAGAGGAGCGGTCGTGCCATGCTGTGTGCGCTCGGCCAGGTCGGCAGTGCAGGGGAGGCTGTGTTGGGTTGCACATTATGGGTTTGGCTGAGCCACTGAGTGTTTATCAGGAAGGCAGCCAGGTTTGTTATTTTAACCTTTCTCCATTCCGAGACGTCTGCAAGTTGCGTTAAATTTAATTAGAGGAGGCATCTTGCCGTTGTTTTAAAAGACACCGTACTCACCGCAGAGAACTGTAGCGACACGACCGCACTCTATGATAGCCGGCGCCAAACTGTGCCACACACCCTCCCGCACGGCCTCGTGAAAACCTCGGTACCGATAAAGTTAATTTATTTTTTCGTCCAGTTTCGTTTTGATGATGTACACGCATGTCATCCGGGCGGAATCGGAAGAAAAACCTATGACGTACACATACGTCATCAGAACGGGAAAAGGTTAAGGAGGCTATGCCAGGAAGCATCTGTTCCTGGTTGAGTGTGCTTGGTCGGCTAGCCTATAGAGGATATGCTAGGAAAACTTTGTTTGGTTGGCGACGCTGGGTTTCCGTTCCGTGCAGATGTGCCAGGTTTGTTGTGTCGGGTGCCGTGTCGTCACTCACCGGGGCTGAATTCTGGGATCGTGGCCTGGAAAGCCGAACCCACACGGATGCCTCCGCCCCCTGGAGGTGAAACCACAACCCGGAGGTCAAAGGGCAGCAAGAACCACCCACCAACAACCACAAAACTCGGAGCTCAAAGGGCAGCAAGAAGCACCCACCAACAACCGGGCCAGCCGCAAACTCTCTTTCAAAAAAGTCATTGCTTTTGTTGCTCACTCTATGGATTATAACCATGAACAAACGGTGCAAAATACACATTCCTATGCCAGATACCAAGTCGATCCATAGGACAACCAATTATTGACGTCCACACAAAGTGGTCAATGATTAATCTCTCCTCAATCTAGAATGTGAACTTGCAACCTTCCGATTGCGAGCCGCTCGCTCTACCACCGAGCCACCTTTTTAAAATGTGAAAGTTTTAAGTAAAAATGGGAATGTCAAAAACACTAATTTAGTCTCTTTTCCCCAGACGGGGCACCCCTTTGTCACTCTTGCAGAGAGCAGTGCATCAACCTGTGCGAGACAACAGCCCGAGAAAGGTGATATCGCAGAAATACTTCTCGGGTGAGATCCATTCCGAGATCTCCGCGACCTCTTCTTCACACGAGAGGCATTGCACTCCCCCACGCGCCCTCGTATAGAGTTACCCATCGCGCGGCAGTTAAGCCGAAAGCTCAGAACACAATTTTTTTGCTAAGTTGAGGGAAACCTAAATTTTTCCTTTATGCAATGGATTTTTTTTGGTGGAGCATTTTGGCGTCTCGGCTGAATCACCCGACTCGCCATACTTGAGAATCACGTTGAATCACAGGTGGCCGACACCAGGATTCGAAACCCAGGCCTCTCTGCGGTGTCAGCTCAGCGCCTCTGACCTGTGAAGCCACGAGGTCAGAGGTCCGAGTCGCTCTCCCGTGACGAAACCAACCACGTGTCACGTGGTCCCGCTTCTTCTGGCAGTGCACGCCGTCACAAATAACACGACAACCGCGCGTGTAACGTCCCACCGATGTTGAACTCCAGAAAGTTGTACAATTACTGCGGTGAATTCAATGAACTTGACGAGTGCATAGAACGAATGACGACCAGCGAGTAGGGAACGATGATCGTGAGCGTCTCCAGTGGGCCACCACCTTGGCCAATCATCACAGATACAGCAACTTGCGGGGGGGTGGTTCTTATTTTGGGCGCCGTGGTCGTGGGTTTGACGCCTGCTGTATATTTGGAGTTTGCATCTTCTCCCCGTGGTCGCGTGAATTTTACTCCAGGTCCTCTGTTTTTTTTTTTCCTCCACAATGAGAATCAACATCACGCGTTCTGAGTATTTGGCCGCAATCAATTTCCACGTGGTAAGTCGCTTCGTTGAGCTGTTATTTGTGGCCGGGTCGCTTCTGAAAAAAAAGCTACATAGCTCAGTGGACCTTAACTGGTAAAATTAAAAAGTTTTATAGTATAGTGTTTTAGATTTTGACTCAGGTCTACCATGAAAAAAGAGTCCTCTGATGGCAATCTGTTTTATGCAATATACAAGCAATGATAATAATAACGATGATGTACGGCCTTTTGTCAATCCACTGCTGAATAAAGGCCTCCCGATGCCGTGTCGGTCAAGGGGTTTGTTTGGCCATACCTCGACACGCTGGTCAGTGTGAGTTGGTGAAGCAGGAAACCCAGGGCAAGTTTACCAATCTCTTCTACCAATCTTACTGTTCAATGTCAAAATGTCCCCGTGCTCAAGCGAGTGTGGCGACCTGGCCACAAATGTTAGCTCAACGAAGTGACTTACCATGTAGAAATGTATTGCAGCCAAATACTCAGAATGCGTGATGTTGATTCTCATTGTGGAGGAACAAAAACAAACGGAGGACCTGGAGAAAGATGTACGCGACCACGGGGAGAACATGCAAACTCCAAATATACAGCAGGCGTCGAACTCACGACTGCGGCACCCAAAATAAGACCCCCCCCCCCCCCGCAAGCTGCTGTAGCTGTGATGATTGGCCAAGGTGTGTTCATTTCCATTCGTAGCTCTGAGCCAGTGGTGGAAATTCCACGTTCCTCTGGTGTGAGTAGGGGGGGAGAAGGGAATTCGTCTCCATCGGGAAACTCTCCACGAGTTCCCGGGGAGCGTGCCCGAGAAGAACGTCCACCGTGGAGATGGAGCGGTGAAATCCGGGCTTGCGCTAAAGCTGGATGGAACGCTGCATCGCAGAGCCGTGAGAAATGGCGACAGCTTGGGGAGACATTTATCCAGCAGTGGATAGATCACGGCCGATCATAGGACTCGCTAGCCACAGAATAATGATGCACTCCGACGCGAACCTGCCGTGGCAACTCCAGCTGGTCCGACCCGACCTCCGACCCCATGACCCACCTGTTCGTCCATTCTGCAGGACGCCGCCACCGCCGCTGCTCCCGCCGCCGCTGTGGTGGTTGTGCGGGGAGTGGTGTTGTTGTTGGTGGTGATGGTTGTGGTGGTGGTGGTGTCCGTTGGAGTGAGACTCAATGCCGGCGCCCAGGGGGCCCTTCCAGCGCTTCCACGAGACGGGGCCCGTCGTGGCGCGCGCCTTCAGCATCTCCGATCGCTTGCCCAACATGGTCGGCATTTACACTGCTGAGGCACGGACACACACACACGGCCCGTCACACACACGCACGTACGCACACACACGCTAAGACATGCACACACAACCCGTCGCCACATAGACCTTCATACACAACCACTGTGTACACACACACGCGAACACATGCACACACAACCTGTCTCCACACAGACCTTCATGCACAACCACTGTGTACACACACACAATCTGTTGCCACACAGACCTTCATGCACAACCACTGTGTACACACACACGCGAACACATGCACACACAACCTGTCTCCACACAGACCTTCATGCACAACCACTGTGTACACACACACAATCTGTTGCCACACAGACCTTCATGCACAACCACTGTGTACACACACACAATCTGTTGCCACACAGACCTGCATACACAGCCACTGTGTACACACACACAATCTGTTGCCACACAGACCTTCATGCACAACCACTGTGTACACACACACGCGAACACATGCACACACAACCTGTCTCCACACAGACCTGCATACACAACCACTGTGTACACACACACAATCTGTTGCCACACAGACCTGCATACACAACCACTGTGTACACACACACAATCTGTTGCCACACAGACCTGCATACACAGCCACTGTGTACACACACACAATCTGTCTCCACACAGACCTTCATGCACAACCACTGTGTACACACACACAATCTGTTGCCACACAGACCTGCATACACAACCACTGTGTACACACACACAATCTGTTGCCACACAGACCTGCATACACAGCCACTGTGTACACACACACAATCTGTTGCCACACAGACCTTCATGCACAACCACTGTGTACACACACACAATCTGTTGCCACACAGACCTGCATACACAGCCACTGTGTACACACACACGATCTGTTGCCACACAGACCTTCATGCACAACTACTGTGTACACACACACAATCTGTTGCCACACAGACCTTCATGCACAACCACTGTGTACACACACACAATCTGTTGCCACACAGACCTGCATACACAGCCACTGTGTACACACACACAATCTGTTGCCACACAGACCTTCATGCACAACCACTGTGTACACACACACAATCTGTTGCCACACAGACCTTCATGCACAACCACTGTGTACACACACACAATCTGTTGCCACACAGACCTGCATACACAGCCACTGTCAAACAAAGACAAAGATCCCCCGTGTAGCCGAACAGACTGTTGGGGACAAGTGGTGTTAGTGAGCATCTATGAAGGCCGGCACGGTACGCGAAGGGGGTGGGTGGCCAGCTTCACGTCCGGCCGCCTTTGTCTCCCGAGTGGCGATGTTTACACACACCGCACCAAGTACTCAGTTGAGGCTGAGTCCATCAAGGGGAGGTCCAGATATTCGTCACTGGTGTTGGCCGTGAGAGGGAATCCAACTCGGGTCACCGGGATCGCATTGCTGCGCACTAACCGCTACATCACCATTCCCCACACACGCTTATATACACACACACAAACTGTTCCACACAGACTCGTATACGTGAGCACACACACGCACAAGCTAACACATACACACAAAATCTCTCTCCACACAGATCCACATACAAAGATCCCCCTTATAGCCTGAACAATCTTTTGGGCCAAGTGGTGTTAGCGAGCACCTATTAAGGCCAGTATGCACGCGTGCACACACACGGCACTGGGCCAGACATCACTCGCCAATGTTAGCCGTGGCCATGGGTAATCATTCGGAGTATAATGCTGCAGTGTTTTATTTTACTTCCGGCATGGCATGTCAATCAAATAGGACTGTAATTCATAAATAAATTATATGTCCAACCTATCCTGATAAAGGGAAACATTTCCAGGCAAAAGCTTGGTCGGAAATACTCGGACAAACGGAGTATTTCATCCACGCTGGAAGGGACATGTACGCATTCAGTTTCGTGTTAGTGTCAAACCAACGACTTATTCCAAAAACGGAAAATTAAAGACTAGCCACAGTAGTGCGACGATGGCCATGCATTCCAAACTATGAATCATATCGTAAACCCGTAGGCACAACACGATACACATAGACTCACAGAGATAGATAGCCTTAGAGAAAGAGACTCGGGAGATGAATTGAGACCCATAGAAATACAGAGACACACAATCATGGAGAGACAGAGATTAATAGAAGCTCAAAGCTCCATAGAGACCCATACAGATACGTTGAAGGCGAGCTACAGCAGTGTGATTGTCGCCATGCAACCCAAACTATGGACCGTTCTATAAGGTCGCACTCATTACACACAAAGTGCTTGCCACAAAGGAACCACAACACCTTGTTGATCTTCTCAATGAGAATAAACCATCACGCCAACTCTAGTCATCCTCGCAGCGGCTCTTGGCAAGCCATTGTGGGCGTTCAGATGTGCTTCTGCGGCCGTCTGGAACGCTCTCCCTTCTGATATTACTAAGCCACTGGGAGCTACGCACTTTCAAATCTCGAGTGACAACTCGTTTCTTTAGAACTGATTTTCGTGTTTAGTTTGTCGTCCTTGCCCCCGCATCCTCTGATTGGCAACGTACGGTGCGAAAGAAGTTCAACATACGTACTGTAAACCACCATAGTCAGAGCTGCTTGAATGGAGGACCAGAAAAATGACATCAACTCGCTCCTGAAGCCCTCTCGTGGCGAGCAGACATTGGCATTTAGTTCCTCCACATATTGAACTATCGTCGAATAGAATTCCACGATTCATAAATCCCAATGAAAAAAATACCACGCAATAAGCATGAGAATGACACCCTGTACGCACAACGAGGATGCTTGTGAATTGTTCACGTGAGGTTTCCTCATGAGCGAAACCATCCTCTGAACGACCCAGGTAGCTACACGACAACGCGAATCTAGCTCGCACACTCCGACACTCGCGATCGAACAGCGCGTGCGACAATCAATTATTTACAATTTATGCAAAGCGCATGCAAATTGGATGCTAATTTAAAATTCCTACTAATGGAGCAAAATAGCAGCGTCCGATCGAGACAGGGCACATAGACGAGAGGAAGCGTGACGAGCGCGACACACAGCGAACGGGTAAAGGCGCAGCCCTGCAATGGCTTGCTCGCGCTCTAAGAGAGGCCCACCAGAAAGCATTTGGTCTACTCTTCCTCGCCGGTCAGATGTTTCGGAAGTGGGGGACAAAAATATACAAGATTCTTGAATCTTAGGACAACCCCCCCCAACTGTGATAAATCCATTTCATCTCTGTGCAGGTGCGTGTCATTGTTGCCTTCCAAATGTTGAAGCTAACCCTATTGACGAGCTCCTGTTAAGGCTGGAACAGCACATACACACACACACGTGTCCGTACGGGGCCAGCGCAAGTACGATGGCCGATTTGTCACGCTGGCACTGTGATCAAAAAAACATTCATTTTAGGTTGAGTCGACCTAGGCGAGGGCCAAACCAGGTGGAGTTGCCACCTGTAATCGAACTGAACTATAACGCAGCGCACGAACCACAGCGCTCATGCTCCACATAGACAAAGGAAAAACAAAGATTCCCCGTGTAGCCTTAGCAGACTGTTGGGCCAAGTGCTGTTAGCGAGCGTCTATGAAGGCCGGCACGGCACACGAGGGGGTGGGGGTGGGTGGCCAACACAACCGCCAAGCCGCCTTTGTCTCCCCAGCGCCGATGTTTACACACCGCACCGGGTACTTGCTTAAGGCCGAGTCGACCTAGGAGCTGCCCAGGGACCGCTTGATAAACATTCGCCGCGGTTATATTTGCTCGCGAAGCGGAATCGAACTCGGGTCCTTCCAGCAGCGCGCTCACCGCTGCGCCACCGCTCCCCACACAAGACACATCCATCCCCACCCCGGCTTCTCGTGCAGGCAACACAGACGACGAGCACCCACGGCGTGCGGATCGTAGCGCCTCTAGTGGCGGCAAGGCGCGGGGGGGGGGGCAGAGGTCGCAACCGGGTACCCGATACCCGTACCCTACCCGATACCCGGCTACCCGTACCCGGCCGGGTACGGTTACGGGTAGCCGTTTGCGACCCTGGTGCGGCCGGGTACGGGTACGGAATCAAAACCCGTTTGCGACCTCTGGGGGGGTGGGGGGATGATGTGAATCAGCGTACAATTAATGGGTGGGGGGGGGGGACATCGATTCCCTCGTGCGCTCAAAGAATTGACGAAATTGACGCAGCATCACCGTCAACACACCCCGAGCCATCAAACGCAGCACCACCCGCGCCCCCTTCGTGCAACGGAACATGACCACAGTGCAAATCCGTGTATTAAACATTTTAGGTTGGGTAGACCTAAAGGAGGGGGGGGGGGCGCCCAGGTTGGAATCGGTTTTGCAATGGTCAAATCCACCAAGCAGCTGGGACGCCACACACAAAAGACAAAGACAGCACCCCCCCTACACACACACACAGCACTCGCTTAGCCACACAGACTGTCAGGGCAAGTGTTGTTAGTGAGATCTCTCCTATACAGACACACAGATACAAATATTCCCCGTACAGCCTTTGCCGACTGGTGGGGCAAGTGCTGTTCGCGAGAAGCTATGAAGGTCGGCACGGCACACGAGAGGGTGGGGTGGCCAGCACCACGCTCGACCGCCTTTGCCTCCCAAAGGCTATGTTCACACTGCATCGGGTACTCGTTCAAGGCCGGGTTGACCTAGGGGAGGCCCAGGACACGTTTTGGGCCATGAATCAAACTCAGGTGCCCAGGTGCGTAGTGCAGTGTGCTGATAACCACCGTGCCACTGCTCCCCACAAACACATCACACGTGCACACATACATACAAACATCCATACACACAAAGAAATAGACATTCATACCCACATACATAGACACGCACAAAAGGATCTCCCAATTAGCCCCATAGAGATCACTAACAACAAAACACGCTTTTTTTCGTGAACACCTATTAACGCTGCCTCCGCGCACAAATAAGTGGTGTAGCCATCACAAACGCCTGACCGCCTTTGTCTCTCGAACAGTGGTGCTGATGCAC